AGCTCTTACTACTTCATCAGTGTTGTCGAATAATAATATTAAACCGAATAATATTAATTCTAAATTTATTTGTCTTCATTGTAATCAAAATCATATGATTTATAGGTGTGAACAGTTTCGTAAACTGTCACCAGATGCCAGAACTGACCGTGTCAAGGCATTAAAGTTATGTACTAATTGTCTAAAGGCAAATCATGATAATTTGTCTTGTAAAAGTGTAATGAATTGTGGTGTGTGTGCGTCACCACATCACTACTTATTACACAAGGATGCGGGACATGTGTTGACCGTGTCGACGGCGTCCACTCCTTCTAATCTCGACTCTTCTTCGACTAGTTTAGAGTCACAGCAAGTGCTAGTCGCCGCTCGTTCCGTGAGCGAGTCGGAAACTGGTGCACAAGTACTACAAAGTACTGATAATAAATATAACTACAGCGTCGTGTTAGGTACAGCGCGATTGCAGGTTAGGGATATGTATGGTGGAAGTCAGGACTGCCGTGCAGTGCTTGATTCTGGAGCTCAGTGCTCTTTTATAACAACGGATTGTGCTCAACGTTTGGGTCTTCCGCGTAAACAGTGTCCTTATTCGATATATGGACTTGGGGGTGAGTCCTTGAAGAATTACGGAATGGTCACATGTACATTTTCATCGCGAAGTGTACATGAGCCTTATTTTACAGTAGATATGGTTGTAGTTAGTAAAGTATCGACTGATATGCCTAATGTTTCGTTCCCGCCAACCGTGATTGACGAATATAGGAATTTTAGTTTAGCGGATCCGTTTTATTATAAACGTTCCCGTGTAGATATCTTACTTGGTAATGACATAGTGTCGGAACTTATTAAAGATAAACCTTTATTGATTAAATCTAATATTCCTCAAGTGATTGAAACAGTATTTGGTTTTATTGTTAGTGGTAAATTGTGGGCTACTGATACTGATAATATTTTGAATTGGCATTTATCTTCCTTAACTAATGAGCAAACGTCAGTAGACATGACCTTACGTAAATTTTCTAAAATAGAGTTAGTTCCCGTGGAACATAGACAATGTCCTATTGATTTTATTAAGAATGACAATAAATGCACTGTAAAAGTTTTAGATCTATATTGGGTTCCGATATCAGGCAGGTTCAATATTACTCAAAATATCAAACATTATATAAACACAAAGCGATCTGTATTAAAATTATTAGCATCGATATATGATCCCGTGGGTTTTATATCGCATTGTTTATTTATGCCTAAGGAAATAATGAAAAATCTATGGAAGTTAAGAATAGTATGGGATGAACAGATACCGGCATACATATGTAAACATTGGACAGATTTTATTACTCAATTGTCCTGTTTAACTGAAATTCTTATTGAACGCTACATGTTACTGCTTAATCAAGTAGAATGTGAATTAGTGGGATTTTGCGATGTATATTCTCGGGATTATACCGCGTGTATTTATGCTGTTAGTCGAGATGATCAAGGGCGTGTTAAAGTAGGAATAAGTCTAATAATGGCGAAATCTAAAGTGGCACCGATCACTATTCCTAGTCTTCAGTTGATGGATGCCCTACAGCTAGGTATATTAATTAAATATATAAATAGTAACTTAAATCGTATAAATTTTACTAGTGTGTGTGCTTTTACTGATTCGACAATCGTATTGTCGTGGCTGCAAATTCATAAATTAAAATTATTTGTTTGTAACCGTGTTACACAAATAATAAAAACTATACCGCCACATTGTTGGAGATTTATCAACAGTGCCTATAACATGGCTGACATTAGTTTTCGCGGCGCTATTGCGTCTCAGCTGGTAAACTATAGTACAAAATGGTTATCAAGTCCACATTGGTTTCGCGAAAATATTAGTAAATGGTCTGTTACATTGTTCGTGAACATTGACAAGTCAAATTTATTCAAATTAAACCTAGATCTTAAAATTATACATCTTATCGGTACTAACTCTAATAAAGTAGCACAATATAAACTAGAATTCTTTATGGAAGAAAGTTTGTATTGTAACACAAAATCATACCGTACAGACATTGCTTTATTTGTATGCTTGTCGACAAGAGCAGTTAACCATGAAACTCTATCTTCGTTATCAGCGGAATATTTCTTTTCTATGTTAAATAATTATGTCTCTCGTAGAGGCTTATGTGCTGTTATTTATTCCGACAGTAGTACCAATTTTATAGCTGGTAGTAAATATTTAAATGAAATTCAGAAATTTGTATCTGACTGTCAAACTCAAAATAAACTAATAGAGAGCTGTCCTAATCGATCTTTAATTTGGAAGTTTAATTCGCCTAATGCAGTAAATATGAATGGATTAGCCGAAGCTGATATTAAATCAGTAAAATACCATTTTCTTAGAACTATAGGAGAAAAATCTTTAACGTTTGAGGAACTTTTCATAATATATTGTAAAATAGAGACTATATTAAAGTCTACGTCGCTATGTCCACTACCAGCGAATTATGATCCAGACGATTATAACGTTTTAACCGCGGGTTATTTTCTTAGAGATAAAAGTTTCGTTGTTAGGTCAGAGTATACTGTTGAGGATGTTCCAATTAACAGATTGTCACGTTGGCAATATATACAGAAACGTACGCAACTATTTAGGAAAAGATGGAAAGATATAAATACTTTACAACGGGGAAAACGGTTCAAATCTAATGCTAATATTAAAATAGGAGAAATTATATTACTTAAAACCGATAACGTGTCTCCTTGCAACTGGTTAGCTTATATTGAATTACTTCGTCCTGGAGATGAGGGAATTATTAGATGTGTTACAATCCATACACAAAACCTCTTAAAAGACCAGTTAATAATAAATTGAACCCCCTTCCCTATATTAATTAATTTTCCATTTCTTTTTCCTTATTATTATTGTACAGTTCCCTTTGCATTACTTCTTTAGTTAATAAATTTTATTTTACCTTAATACTAACTTGAAACCGTCAATACGGTTTCGGCCGGGGGTATGTTCCGTATTCCGAACCTCCTTAGTCTAAGCAGGTTGTATCACCGGCTTGCTTACTGGAGCAAAGGGCGCTCAGTAATACTGGCCACATAAAAACATGTGGCCACTTAAATTTCAAAAAAAGAATAATAAAACAATTGAAAATAAGAACTGGAATTAAAAGGACGCTCCGTATTTTTATCTATAGAAAACAAGATAATTAAGGAATTATTTCACACAATATAATTGTTTTTGATGAAAATATACACTCTAGAGTGCGTGGCCACTAAACAGTACTACACATCGGGACGTTCCTGAGCAAAGGTGAGTAAGTTTGGTGTTACATTGCTTACTTTGGGGTGTTCGGAGTGTGGAAGACGTTCTTCCAGGTCGAAATCGTATTTTTACTTCCTTTTCCATTAATTATTTTCTTTTCAATAAATACAGTCCACTCTCTCTTTTATATATTAATTTATAAGGATTCGTAATCCAACAACATGGATGTCAAATATATTCTTAATATCATTAGCCCCACCGCAGTATATGTACGATACCTTATTACGTAATAGAAACAATAAAAAAAACTATCGATATCATGGTACAACACAGCATGCTTGACATGACTACAATTAGTTCGGTATGATGGAATGGTGCACCCGCCTGTGCTAAAGGTTTACGCTGGCCTAAACTAGTGGAGGATGATAAAATAAGCATGAGGTCAGATCAGCTAGCCCATCGTGACAAATTCACTAAGAATTTATCACGATGGTTTCCAGAGGGAACCCCGTGGAGGTCAACCTGACATGGTATATTGCTAGCAATAAGATTATCAATCCATATTACTAACAATCCCCTTTTCCCCCCAACACAGAATGGCTAACATGACCACAATTAGCTCGGTATACTCTTATGGATAATAATGGAATTGTGCACCCGCCTGCGCTTACGGTTTACGCTGACGGGGCACCAGTGGAGGATGATTAGATGAGCATAAGGTCAGATCAGCTAACCCATCGTGACAATTTATCACGATGGTATCCAGGGGAACCCCGTGGAGGTCAATCTCACATGGTACATTGCTAAGAATGGGGCTATTCGTCCACATTACTAATAATCCCCTTCTCGCTCGGTATACTAGCATCCACGTGTCAGTGGTCGAGGTACTATCTTCACTCGAATATTAGATTCTATTCGTAATGTTTTGGCGTAAGTTGAAGTACTAATCTCTAGGTCACGACACATTGCCGCCCTTTAAGAAACCTTAATATATCCTTGGAAAACCCCATTCTGTTGTCTCTAGAGAAAATCTCGCCAGGTAGTTAATTCCACAATCTAAGTTTATATGGGAGGAAGCTCCTCTGAAACCGCACTGTCCGAAACCACTTAGGTTCAAACCATTCTGTAGTGTTTCGAGAAAACCTCGGCAGGTAGTTAATTCTACAATCTAAGTGTACGCGGGAGGAAGCTCCCCTGAAACCGCACTGTCCGAGACCATTTAGGTTCACACCATTCTGTAGCCTTTCGAAAAACCTCAGCAGGTAGTTAATTCCACAATCTAAGTGTACGCGGGAGGAAGCTCCTCTGAAACCGCACTGTCCGAGACCACTTAGGTTCAAACCATTCTGTAATATTTCGAGAAAACCTCGGCAGGTAGTTAATTCCACAATCTAAGTGTACGCGGGAGGAAGCTCCTCTGAAACCGCACTGTCCGAGACCACTTAGGTTCAAACCATTCTGTAGTGTTTCGAGAAAACCTCGGCAGGTAGTTAATTCCACAATCTAAGTGTACGCGGGAGGAAGCTCCTCTGAAACCGCACTGTCCGAGACCACTTAGGTTCAAACCATTCTGTAGTGTTTCGAGAAAACCTCGGCAGGTAGTTAATTCCACAATCTAAGTGTACGCGGGAGGAAGCTCCTCTGAAACCGCACTGTCCGAGACCACTTAGGTTCAAGAGTGTGGGGATGAATTCCCTGTCGATTGCGTGCAATGTTAAAAGGTTGTACTGTACATTTGTTTTCTTTATTTCAGAGTATCACTTCCATACGACAAGATCAACTCGTTCAACACTCTATCACACGCGGTGACAGCCGAGCTGACTGTACTGGCGAACGACAATGCTGCAGCAGAAGTAATTGTAAACCACATAAAAAAGGAATTCGAGGAATCTGGTAAGTCAACTATGTATTTAATTTATAGTAGCCGTTCCCGCGACTTCGTCCGCGTGGAATTTAACTTTATTTTTCTAAAATAAAAGAATAGAAAAGTAACCTAAGTTACTCCTTATTACATCAGCTACTTGTCAAAAAAAGTGCCGTCAAAATCGATCCAGTCATTTCAGAGAGTAGGCATAGGAACAAACAGACAGACAGATAAAAATTGTAAAAAAAAAATTGTGTGTATAAAAATATATATTTATATGTATAGACTAGCTGTTACACCCGACTTCGTCTGCGTGAATTTTTAAATAAAATTTCTAAAATATAAGTAACTTAAGTTACTTCTTATAATATTAGCTGTACATGAAATACCCTCCAAAAAAAGACCATATGTATTATATATTCATTTAATTCGAATATCCATCCATATTATGTTAGTTAACTTATAAACTATGTTAGTAAATTACAATGTATATCCTATTGAAACCATTCTGTAGCCTTTCGAAAAAATCTCGGCTGGTAGTTAATTCCACAATCTAAGTGTACGCGGGAGGAAGCTCCTCTGAAACCGCACTGTCCGAGACCAGTTAGGTTTAAACCATTCTCATCTCATTTCTTCATTCATCCTATTTATTTTAATTCATATATCTATGTCCCCAGAAGCACTGGGTCCGCAGCAGTGCAGTGATGTCCAGTGCCTCTGGAGTGGACTATCTGACATATTTGCTATAATGTTTAGGATGCTGTTTGCGCTCCCCTGAATTCTAGACATCAGTGATGCAGTTCTATGCATTATTGCTTCAAAGCCATCTATCCGCGCTGCTATAAACATCTCTGATGAGCTATAGTTACATATTATCCCTAACATTTTTTTTCTATTCAGGCTTAATAGTCGTAGATTTATATTTATTAATTATATTATGTATGATTTTGTGGCGAAAAATAAATATTTTATTATTATTCATCTCTCTATCGTCTCATTCTCTCAGCTCAGCTACAGTTTTGTAGAGACAAGGACGGGTTTTTTTTACCAAGTCAATTGTTCTCATATTTTAATTTAATTTAATCAGCAGGAATGTTTAGAATTGGACTATTTAAAAATTTTCTAACTATAGAGCAGGTATCTAATACTGTACATTTCTGGAGTTCAGTTATTCAGTTCAATTTTTTTTTTCCCAGATGTAATAAAATTAAACATCAAGAAATTAGTACTGCCTGATGATCTCCGTCGCACTTTGGACAGCGTTGCTGATGAGAATGATGCTGTGGAGGAAGTAGCTGGGAAGTATAACCTGAAGAAGCATAATACCTTCTATGTGGTGCAAAGGTCGCCGCTGCACCAGGACGTGTGGTTGAGTGAGGAGAGGCTGGCTTTCTTCAGGGATGCTAAAGGTAAATATAAACATAAACCCAGTCAATAATAAACAACAAAGTCAATGAACAACCCTACTACTTTACTCACTAATAATAGATTTATATTGTACTAGCTAATGGCCCCAGCTGGGGGGGGAAGGGGATTGTTAGTAACGTGGACTGATGACCCCATTGCTAGCAATGTACTACGTCAGGTTGACCTCCACGAGGTTCCCCCTGGAAACCATCGTGATAAATTCCTGGTGAATTTGTTCCGATGGGCTAACTGTCCTGACCTCATGCTCATCTTATCATTCCCCACTGGTGCCCCGCCAGTGTAAACCGTTAGCGGCAGGCTGGTGCACCATTCCATTATCATCAATAAAAAAAAATCGCCCCAGCTTCGCCCAGTTGTACATGTATTATACATATAAACCTTCATCTTGAATCACTCTTATCTATTAAAAGAAACCGCTTCAAAATCCGTTGCGTAGTTTTAAAGATTTAAGCATACATAGGGACGGACAGATAGGGACAGCAGCTTTGTTTTATACTATGATTATGATTTAAAAACAAAAAATCTTGACGGCCCCGGTAGTCAAGCGGTTAAGCACATTGCTTTCTTGCCAATGGTCGCAGCTTCGATTCCACACATGGTGCAAATATTTGTATTCATGATTATGACGGTTTAACACATCGCTGGTCGTACGAAACCTCGTACTATGCAAACATTTGTATTTATGAGTGTTTGTATTGGGTCTGGGTGTTTTCTATGTACGTTATGTATGTGTTTGTGTATTAAACAAATGTATTAAAGTATTTACATTAATTATCTAGTACCCATACAAGCTTTGCATGGCTTGGAACAAGAAGGCCCTGCGGGAATTATACGGGATAGAAAAGTAATCTATCGATATTAATTTAATTTTGTCTGCCTTTTGCCTTGCGTGCGACAAAAAATAGCATATGACCTCATAACATAATATTATCCAGGATTAAAAAAAACAATTTTTTATAGCGTTATTTTAATTTTGTCTGCATTTTTTTGGCATAAAAGGTAGCGTCTATCTTCGTAACATCATCTATTTTTACTTCAATCTGACTGAATCTCATCCTTGTCTCTTCCAATGTTTACTGTTACCTTAGTGCTTGCACCATTTTATTTTCATTCACTTAAAAAAAACTTTAATTAACTTTTCAGCATCAAAAACTCTGGTCCAAGTCCTGAAGCAGTGGGTGTACCAGACCTCGATATTGGAAGGTAGTCGTTTGGATACCCCGGACGTGGCTCGCCAGACCCGTTTTCCACCAGGAGAAGAGTACCACATCGTACTATCTGTAGTCCATCCGAAACCTGATGGTTTAGCAGTTGATTTTGATGCAGGAGATGCTGTTGAAAGTAAGTATTTCAAAATAACGAATAAGTTGACGGTGCCCAAAAGTTATAGAAATAATCTTAATTCAAATAAACTTAATACATACTTGACGGATGACGCCCTCGGTGGTCTGGCGGTTTAACACACCGCTTTACATCCGATGGTCGCGGGTTCAATTCCTCGCACGGCACAAACATTTGTATTCATGATTATCAAGGGTATTTTCTATATATATTATATAGACATTTCCAAAAAAAATCTAAGTATTTATACCAGTTGTCTAGTACTCATAGCACAAGCTGTGCTTACCGTGGGACTAGATGGCTTTGTGTTAATTGTCCAGAGTTATTTATTTATTACTTAATAAACAGGGCATGAAATCACCCTCCACTGGTGCCCCGTTTGCGTAAATCATTAGTAACCCTTGCACTAGTGCATTGCTATGCATTGCATGCTATTATGATCCATAAAGTAGAAATACAGGAATAGAAATAATCTTTATTCAAATAAACTTAATATAAGCACTTTTGTATAGTTATAATTTTTTTATTTTTACTCATTCGGAACGCAGACTCATCACAAGAAGGAGCAATAAACTTGCGTGTTGCTCTTTTAAATAAATATTGTTCTAAGTACATTAACAAGGATTAGGCATGCGACAATCTACATAGAAACCGCTAGGCAGTAAATGTTTGTGCAGTCAGTTGATATTGTCAGCACTTTGAATTTTAAGTTAGATTTTGTTCTACAAAAACATCATTGTCACTTATAAACACTTCAATTTTATAAGTTTATTTACTTGAATTTTAAGTTAGATTTTGTTTTTTTGTAACATCATTGTCACTTATAAACAATTTTATAAGTTTATTTACAAAGAAACTGTTTTGTAAGACATTTGCATCTTTTCTAGCTGATTTAGGATAATGATTTGAATCATCACAAGGACATACGTCTTCTTTGATACCACTTGTGGATTGCCATTTCAGAGGACTAAGATATGCCTCTTTAACCTGTAAATTCACTTATTTTAGATTCATCGCACCCTTTAATATAGACACATATTTTAAAACAAGCTGTTTGATGGCTGAAATAGCTTAGATAGAGGTAATCACGTGGCCTTTGCTCTTAGAGTCAAACAAAACGATAATGTCTCAATAAAGGCTAAGCATAAACGCAACAGCACAGGGGAACAATGCAATCAGATTTTTTAATTAAACAGCATGCAAAGCCGCATAGCATTGCTAGTATTATACAAACAGTAATCTTTAACAACCATTTATATTTTCACATTCGTCTTCAAATTGTATACCTAATTACGGTCTAAGTTATATGTGTGGTGAAACACAATCGCACAATTTTATGGTCCTTCGTGCCGGATAAAACTGTCATAATAATTGTTAATTAATGTGTTATTATGAACAAAGTCGTTATAGTAATAGGTGTATTAGTAATTATTGAATGTACCTACCGATGTTGATTACGTCGTAGTTTGTTTATTATTTACTAGCTGCGCCTGCAGTTTGACCCGCGTGAAATTTATAACCTACTAGCTGTTCCTGCGACTTCGTCCGCGTAAAATGACGATACTGATAATATAACCTTTCATCCCCTTACAACCCTTTTTTTGCATTATATAGTAGCCTATGTCCTTTGTCAAAGTCTAAATTCCATTTAAATTGGTTTAGTGGTTTCAGCGTGAAAGAGACAGACAGACAGACAGTTACTATCGCATTTATAATAGTAGTAAGGATATGTTATTCTGATGTATAAGCTATATTACTATAAAGTTAAAATCCGTTCAGTAGTTTTTGCATGAAAGAGTAACAAACATCCATCCATACTCACAAACTTTTGCGTTTATAACATTAACTAGCTTTTGCCCGCGGCTTCGCTCGCGTTAATTTATCCCCTTAGGTGTGGAATTGATCAAAATCCTTTCTTAGGGGATGCCTACGTCATAGTTGCTTTATGCATGCAAAGTCTCAGCCCGATCGGTTTAAAATTGACAAAGTTTCAGAGATTAGACAAGAAAAAGATCAACACAAAGATTATACAATTTGTTATTTGAATTTAAAATTGACAAAGTTTCACTGTTTTAGGTTGACTGGAAGAGATCTCTTCATCTACATTGTCTCTAAATTGTAATATCTTTATATTATCTGTGTAATAAAGAATATTGAAAGTTTCACGCAAACTTGCATCTACTATTTTATCCCCTTGGGGGTAGAATTAATTACAATCTTTTCTTAGCGGATGGATGCCTATGTCATAACATCTACCTACATGCCAAATTTTAGCCCGATCCGTCCAGTGGTTTGGGCTGTGCGTTGATAGATCACTATGTCAGTCACCTTTGAGTTATATATATTTAAATAAGATATTATTCTCCTACTTCTTCTTCGCCAGGAACATGTCCTGTCCTGGGTTGTCGAGTCCTTTAGGTCGTTATTGATAATGGACTGCCAAGTTAATAGGGTCCATCTCGTGTTTTTGGGCCGGTGTGAAGGTTCAGGACTTTTTTGATCATATGACTCTTCTCGTCTCATTACATGGTCAACCTCAAACTTGTCTCAGTGAGTTTGTCTTCGATGGGCTGGATCTTAAATCTGCCTAGAATGTGTTTATTCCTCACTCTGTCTTTTTTATTATATATAATTTTATTATAGCTTTTATATAAAAAGAGGTTTGATGTTCTAATAACGGTTTATATTTTCAATTAGGTATAAGATAATATTTTAAGAAAGGTGTTACATATGAATGTGGATGGTTATAAAGGCAGAGGAAGACCGAAAAAGAGATGGATGGACTGTGTGAAAGATGATATGGTAAGAAAGGAAGTAAATAACGAGATGACTGCGAACAGAGCTGAATGGAAAAACATATTACGCCGACCACAAGTAAATGGGAAAAGGAAGAAGCAGATGATGATTTTCAATTAGGTATAGGTGAGCAGTCAGCTTATTTGTTATTAGCAATATCATCATTAAATTAAAATAAAAATTAAATTATTTTAATATAGAAAGTGAATTCTTCCTGTATTAGATAGTGAGTCCAACTGAAACATATAAATAGAGACACATGTATGGTCACGTGACTAACCGTTCGAGAGAATAAACAATCTAGGATAATAATATAAATATATGCACCTTACCGATCGGAGTGAACAGTCATGAAGCTGTTCACTCTGATCGATCACCCATCAATTTCAAACGGGGATCGAATGACCAAGTCAAAATTTGAACTTCGACTAAAATAGTATCCGTCAGGTGGGAGTTGGCCTTCAGCCGCTCCATAACTCCATGCTCGGGTTTGGAGTGCCATCTGCACTCGCCCCCTATCGTCCGGTGAAGCTGTAAAGGCCAGCTGCGGCCAACAGCATTAGAGGAATAAAAAAAATTTGTTAGATATATATAACACAATCCCTTACATTCTTTCCGGGCAGAAAACTGGCTATCTGGCCAAAGTTCTTGCGGCCAATAATATTATTTTGGCCCAAAAAAAAAACATGACTGTTGCCCCCAATTAGCAAAATTTGGAATTGGTATTTAAAAGAATTATTAGTTAACTAGCTACTCACCCCGGCTTCGTACGGGTGTACATGTATTATATATATAAAGCTTCCTCTTGAATCACTCTATTTTTTATATGTAATGATCATTTCAAGTAACTTTAATTTCATTTGTCTTAGAAGATTTGTTAAAGCGTTGGATAATGGCTTGTATGTATGTATATATATTATATGCATGTATATATATATTAAGTTTATTTGAATAAAGATTATTTCTATTTCTATTTCTATAATTTGTTACAGATTACATTGGCTCGTTCGTGGACGAATTGAGCGAACTCCACAACTTCACACTGAAATCGCAATGGCTTTATTTACTTGACTTCGACTTTCAGGCAAAGGAGGTAAGTTTAATTTACCATAAACATTTAAATAATGAAATAAACTTCAAAATAAAAAAAAAAATATTTGACGGCCACGGTGGCCTAGCGGTTTAGGACGCCGCTTTACTTCCAATGGTCTCGGGTTCGGTGGAAACATTCGTGTTCATGAATATGATTGTGTATAGGTCTGGGTGTTTTCTATATATAATATGCATGTATTTACAAAAAAAAATTAGATTTGCTATTTCATATTACCGCCTTTGAACCGCTTTCTATTTTTATCAAATTAGCTGGTAGATAATGCCACGTGGCATTAAGCACATCAATTGTACGACTTTATAGATGCAATAAAGAATAAGTATATAAATAAATAAATCATATAATATGTTAGATGAGGGGATGTGATTGGTACTAATGTGGACTAATTAGTACATTGCTAACAATGTACCATGTCAAGATCACCTCCACGGTTCCCCTGGAAAAAATCGTGATAAATTCATGTTGAATTCACCACGATGACCTGACCCCAAGCTCCACGTCTATCGATTATAATCGATGGTCTAGTAATAAGATGAACGTCACTAGCTGTAAAAGAATGTTGATACGTCACTAGTTGTGTGTGTCACACACATAGATTCACACTTGTAACGCCCGAACTTCTGCAATCTTCTAAAATTCTCCGAAGGTATCAAGCTCAGGTAATAAACATGATGCAATAATAAGCAGAAAATTCTTTGATTTAAAATATATATTATTTTAAAATGTTTGTTTGTTATGACAATAATAAGCAGAAAATTCTTTGTTTTTAAATATATATTATTTTAAAATGTTTGTTTTTTATGAGTTTCAGGATATGTTTTAATTAGTATATTGTTATTATGACATCAACATGGCCATACGTATCTCGCAGTTATACTGGCCAAATCTACGGGGAATGGGCGCTGAAAAGCGTGCATGTTATTCTCTTGACCTCTACAAATTATTTCTACTCTTGTCCCTCTCCACCTTCAGTGGGGCAGTGGACGAAACATTAACAGCTTCTGTGCCGGGCATTGTTAGTAACGTAGATTCATGACCCTATTACTAGCAATGTACCATGTTAGGTTGACCTCCACGCGGTTACTGGAAACCATCGTGATAAATTGCTGGTGAATTTGTCATGATGAGCTGACTGACCTGACCTCGTGTTCATCTTATCATCCTTCACTGGTGCCCCGCCAGCGTATACCGTTAGCGCAGGCGGGTGTTCCATTCCATTATCATACATAAAAAAAACACTCCTTCTTTAGCGGCAGATTCTTCTTGAACACGTGCCACTATCAATCTTCTAGTACTACCGCCTCTGGTGCAACTGACTCGCGAACTCCCGCAGCCTCCTAAAATTCTCCCCACTCACACAAAGTCCTGGAAGTACACCGGACCCTCCCCCTCATCTTCACTGCGACGCACTATATATCCCCTTAGGTCGGAATAGAGGAAACTTTATTATACGGCAGGTGAAAGACGGTAGTGAGTGGGGTCGCCACTACGCAGTGCGGAGGGAGCGACTGCAGCTGCTCCTGACGCGGCTTGAGGAGCGCGCGGCGCCGCAGGTGTCCACGCTGCCCACGCTCAACATCGCGCTCTACCTGGTGCCGTGCACACACGCGCCGCTACTCATATACGATCACAACGGTAACTATATATTTTCTTCCCCTCCACTTTGTTACTAGTTTATTACAATTGGACAATTCACACAACGTCATCTAATTCCAAGCTAAGTAGAGCTTGTGTTATTGATACTAGACTTTTTTTTTTATTATATAACACTGATGTCAATTTCCAGGTTTCCAACTTTTTTATTTACACACACATTTAATTACATTAGAGGGTACATCTAAATTAACAGCAAAACATTTTGTCTTATCTAGGGACTATACTAATTACACAGTTTACATTTCCTTATCCTCTATTCCTCTTCTATTTGCTATTCTTACTTTACACTAGTTCTATTTTAACCGACTGTATAGTCACTACACATCGTAAAATATGCTTACTTGCTATTGGTCTTTGCTACTTTTTCTATTATTTTCCTGCTGTACTCTATGGATTGTTCCGTACTTTTCCGATTTCTTACTATTTACTAGACGATTTTTATTAATATTTTTTTAAAATACATTATTTTATGTATGTATTCATATGTATACATACATAATATAAAATAATGTATTTATATACAGGTATTAGTCAATTACATGAAAGTACCCACGGTTCCAAAATTTCATTGCCAAAGTTTCAAATTTCTAGCCTTAAAAATGACGATACTTTAATCTTACCTTTCTACCCCTTATAATCTTTTAATTTTATTAAATAGTACCCTATGTCCTACCTCAGGGCTCTTGCCGTGAAATCGTGACAGACAGACAGACAGATTTACTTTCGCATTTATAATATTAGTAAGTATGAAGACGCATTCTACGCTGGTTTCAGATAAGCCAGTATCATCATCAGTGCAAGCCTTCATGTCTCCAAAATGGGGAGGCGTGATGCTGTACAGCCCGACGGCGGCAGAATGCGCTGCCGCCAGTCCAGCCTCCAAGCCTGACGTCCGACTGATCATGGGCACCTTCCTGGCACAGCTGAGGACGCTCCTCGGGATTGCTGATATTGTAAGTATTTTTTTTTGTATATGATAATGAAATGGTGCACCCGCCTGCGGAAACGGTTTACGCTGGCGGGGCACCAGTGGAGGATGATATGAGCATGAGGTCAGGTCAGTTAGACCATCGTGATAAATTCACCAAGAATTTATCACGATGGTTTCCAGGGGGAACCCCGTGGAGGTCAACCTGACATGGTGCATTGCTAGTAATGGGGTCATTAGTCCACATTACTAACAATCCCCTTCCCCGCATATTGTAAATATTGAAATTGTATTTATAAACATCCTTAGCTCAAACTTTTTGAGGCATGTACCATACCTATCATGCTTAGAAAAACTTTAGGCTAGTGCATATTCAATTTTGTAAAAATTGTATGTTTCAAAACAAATAAACAAATTGTTTATGGTGCAGTCGAGTATACCGGGCGCGCGTGTGGAGCCCTTGACGTCGGTGAGGCCGCGGCGCTGGGAGCTGGATGCACTGCTGCGGCTGCGGACCACAGGACAGCTGGCGGCGGCACAGCGCGCGCTCGCCTCCCTCGCTCAGCTGCTAGGTGACACTACCACAGTGAAGTAGGCTGCGGACCACAGGACAGCTGGCGGCGGCACAGCGCGCGCTCGCCTCCCTCGCTCAGCTGCTAGGTGACACTACCACAGTGAAGTAGGCTGCGGACCACAGGACAGCTGGCGGCGGCACAGCGCGCGCTCGCCTCCCTCGCTCAGCTGCTAGGTGACACTACCACAGTGAAGTAGGCTGCGGACCACAGGACAGCTGGCGGCGGCACAGCGCGCGCTCGCCTCCCTCGCTCAGCTGCTAGGTGACACTACCACAGTGAAGTAGGCTGCGGACCATGGGACAGCTGGCGGCAGCGCTGGCCAGAAACATACAGGAATAATAAAATGGCAACCATTAAGGGACTCCCGACGAAAAAAAATCTCTAAATAGTCAAAAAATTCTAACTTGAAATGCCTCAATAATTTTTGTTACACTACGTTGATGGCAATCTCATACAACTCAGGCTTCCTAGCCTCCCTCACTCAGCTGCTAAGTAACTCGTACTTACATACAAAAACATTTTCACGAGTAACATAATAAATATTAAGTAACACCCGACAAAAAACAAATAATAAAAGATTCTGACTTGAAACCCCTGAACAAAGTACGTACCATCACTTATGATTGCAAAAAATCACATACAATTCCGTAGCTTCTGCTACCAGATTGAAATTAGTTAATTTATTTTACAGTTTGCTAAATGTATTTTCCAGGCGAGATATCAAACATAGTGATCAATGATGAAGTGGGCGCGTCCATTAATTCTGCTGTGGAGTCCATCGAAGCAGCAGAGACATTGCTCTCCAAGGATCTTCTAGAGGCATATAAGCTGTCTCTACGCGCGCACATCGACGCAGAGACAGCCTTCATGGAACCCAGTCTGCTCGCGCTATTGTACTTCCCAGATGACCAGAAGTACGTATCTAAAATTATTTTTTAGCGACAGCCCCTGTGGTCTAGCGGTTTAGCACGCCACTTTACTTATGGTTGCGAGTTCGATCCCTCGCATCGAAAGCCGCGGTGATCTAGCGGTTTAACACGCCGCTTTATTTTTGATGGTGGTGGGTTCGATTCCTCTCACGGTGCGGTGGTAACGTTTGTATTTGTAATACTTCCGTAAAAATTGAAACGACTTAATTAATAGAAGTTTATTTTGTTGGAGATATTAAAACACGTTGTAATTTCATTGAACGGGAGATAGAGTGAGTGAACGAATTAATTACTCACTCTTTCCTGAATGTTTATTAGTAATCTTCAACAGTATTCAATAACATTGTTTGTATCAGCCTGGATGTTTGCTGTGTATGTTTTGTATAAATTTACAAATAAAATCAAGTTTTTATATCAGTTGTCTACCCATAACACACGCTTTGCTTACAGTGGGACTAGATGGCCATGTGTTAATTATCCATGGTTATTATTTATGTAATTAATAACTACCTTTATATGACGTTCACGCGGGAAAGAGTGTGTTCAAGCACAGTCTTTCCTGTGTGAAAGTCTAGGCATACAAAGAGAACGACAAAGAAAACGCATGATCGCTCACTCGCGCAATCCCGCATAGTTCATTCGTGTGTGACTTTCGCGCCCTTTTGGGATAAATACTTATTACGACAAAATGGCGGACATCTGACCATAGAGTAAAGATTAGTTGTTTGTATCATTATGGATTAGTTGATAATTTATAAATCTTAATGATATAAAATCTGTGGAATATTCAAAATATATTTTAAGATTTAGAACAGCTAGTTCGCCTTTTTTTTAAATATTAAGATCATACAATAGGACTGTAAAAACAGTCGGTAATGAGTTTCTTATTATTTCTTTACATTTTTCAGGTACGCTATCTACATTCCCTTGTTTCTGCCAATAATGTTCCCAGTAATACTCTCCCTCAAGAACTTGCTGCTGTGGTTCAGAGGGAAAACAGTGAACAAAGAGAAGACTGAGTGAAGTCAGTATTACGTATTATATAAATAAATTAAACGTGTTTTCATATCTTGTTTTATTCAGAACCGAGCAGCCAGAATTATTACTAACATATTTGTGGCAGACTGGACCCATTGGTTCTTTTTCGACCCTTTATCATGGAGTGTTCTAAGGAATTGTTCAAATTGTTACAAACTGCTGCATTTCATCAAGGCACTACGGGGCAAAAATTAAAATATCATCCTGATCACCTGAATGTATGCTCGCCCTCCACTGTGCGTTTTTCTAGAAACTTGCCACGCAATAGGTTCTGAAATACCATTGCTGGAACCTTCCAGCAATGGTATTTCCGAACGATATTGAAACCTTCAAGAGGTTCAACCTTCTTAAAAGGCCGGCTAGGTACTTGCAATTACCCTGCTGTTGCGGGTGCTCTAATCGGCTGTAATCAATTACCATCAGGCGAGCCCATTCCCCTATGCTATAAAAAAATCGTAAAATTGTGGTTTTGATCTTCATCTAGTAGTTATACTGGGCTATTTTTTACGGCGGTTTTCAGAAACAGATAAAGTGATTCAAGAGGAATTATATGTATAATACATGCATGTTATAGTATACAAGTCGAGAAATTCAAAGATTTGTAATGTATTCGTGCGAAATCGGGATGGGTCTCTAGTAATTAATAAAATAAACGTTTGCGTCACATAATATTTAATACTGAGGTATTTAGATATTCACAATGAAAATTTTATGATATCTTATACTAATAGTTATTTGTATTTCATATTGTGCACAAAATTATGAACGTGTGAAGATCGCTAAACTTATTTCTATATAACTATTACAGAAACGTAATGCAGTTCTTTTGATATGTGTAGTCTTGTACCCTATCTTAATATCAATAGGACCATACCTTCTTTTGTATAATATTGTATATAGAAATATTAATTTCTTGAGACATTGAAAATCGTTGTTTAGTAATGAACTAACTACTGAAGTATGACGGTTATATATATATATATATAACCGTCATACTTCAGTAATGTGGGACCAACTTAGAAGTTTACCATATCGATTGCAAAATGAATCATCAATATCGGTCACATTTGTCGAAGATATCATATAACATATGAAATACCTGACAATTGAATAGTTATACTAATTCTTTTGGAAGTCGGTTACATATAGCAGGATGACATTCAGATTAAATTATTAATATTTGCAGAGTTCATAAAAATTAGAACCTACAACTTATGTTTTGTCAATTTCTTTTATAAGTAACATATGGCTTGCAAGAAAAAGACAAAATAGTAGTTCAATTGCTACAATAGCTTTAGTGGCCACCCATGACGTCACACGTATTTCGTGATTACTGACACCTCGCCACGTCTTTGTCACAGTTGGTCACATTTGTGACAGTGAGATATCACATATTTTAAAATTTTTAACTAATTAAAATGTGTTCTAATACTTTTTTCATTAATTTATAGACTTGTCAATTTTTGGTACGTCAATTCAATCGTACCATAGTCTCTAAACTATAATATAAATAAAAAATACTACAATATTTAGTCAAAAAACATTTCTGGTATATCAATACTTTCGTATATCGTACCTTGATCCAATATAAATAAAAATACATATTTATTAACAAAAGTAAACTAGTGTTTAAATACTTAGTCACACTTTTGAAGTGTGACGACATGAAATTTAGATTACACCTGTAGTTACAAAGTGTCACATTGTTAGACCTCCTTGCAATGTATCATGTCAGGTCAACCTCTACGCCGGTTCCCCCTGGAAACTATCTTGATAAACTCTCGGTGAATTTGTCACGTTGGGCTAACTGACCTGATCTCATGCTCATCTTATCATCCTCCACTGGTGCCCCGTAGGCGTAAACCGTTAGCGCAGGCAGGTGCACCATTCCATTACCATCCACTAAAAAAAACCTTAGCGTGTGAAATAATTAACGGGTGGCCCTTACACGACTTTACAAATGAATGAATACTTTAGAATGTATGTTCAGAAAAAGTTTGAGGTATCAACCTCATGTTAAATAATTTCATCATTATTCAAATAAGATGTGAGTAATCAGCCCCAGATCTAGGTGGGGACAACACGGGGGCCATGCCCCAGGCGGCACGTCCTGGGGGCGGTTAATTGGAACTTGGCAGATGAATACACAACTCATCATTTTTGACCCACCTTTGACAGCTTGACCACTGACCGACGGATGTCAAGTAAATTGTTTTTGTTCAATGCATTTCAAAATGAAGATATAATAAAGCCACAATATTTAACAGCAATACTATTTGAACAAACTGTATGTTAATATCATGGCTGTTAGGGAGTTCCGTAACCGTAATCGAAACTATCGGATATCCGATATTAAAACATATTCGTAACCGTAAGCGAATCCGAAATAAAAGTTTCGGACAACATCGGATAGGGGCGGAGCCTAATGGATATACGCTATGTAATCATTTTATTAGATATTTGTATTTTACATTTGAAATTCCTTAAATAAAATCCGAAACAAACGGATGATCCGAAATAATTTCATATCCGCATCCGTATCCGTATCCGTGATAATAATCATTCCTATAGCCGAAACCTATCCGTATCCGAAATTTAATATCCATAACATCCCTGGTTAATATATAGCATGTTGCAATATAGTATAAATGTTGGGAGTGCGGGGAAGCGTTAGGGTTGGGGAGGGGGGGGGGGGGGGGCAATTATTAGTTGGCCCCACCTCGAAAAAAATGAAGATCCAAGGCTGTGAATAACACGAATACGACCACGAAAATGAATACACCGACTACATTAAGTTTAAATACAGGACCACGTTATGGCTCCACCCAATCCGTCTCGGTTATCATGGCCACATTCTCCCCTTTGCTGGGCAAATACTCCAATTCCCACATCGAATTCCCCAAAACCAAAGTCTCGCCTTCGATCAGCTCCAAGTTAAGCGTGTAACATTCGTCCTCGCATGGTGATCGTGGCTTTAATCTTATGTACGTCTTCCCTTTCAACTGCGACATGATTATCAACCCTACATCCAGCTCTAAATATTTATATCTATGAGTGTCATAATTTTTGGACATCAGTAACCAATTGAAATGCGATGGTGGTATATGTGGGGATAGGAAGTACGGTCTCGGCGCCAGGACCCTGAAGGACTTTACAGCTCTGATATCGCAGTTTTGGAAGTGTACGAACCAACTGGGAATATCTGTATTTGTGATTCTGGAGACTATTTCCTCTAGGTCCATGGGTTGGCGACCCAGCCGGATGTTGGTTAGAATCCTGCAGGGCACTGAACCACGGAGCCTGTCGTCCTGGCTGATGAGGTTCGTCAGGTTGAGATCGCTTCTGGATATCGACCAGTCGGAGTATGCGTCTATGACGATGACCGGTGCTCCGCGTAAGAGGTGATGGTTGAAGACTTCGTTGTAACTCACGTCTGATACGCGCGCGACGGTATCTGAAAATAAAATTAAAATAAATTAATTTTATTTGCAGAAAACAGTTAGTAAATGGTAATGTATCCAAGTAATAATATTATTGACAACTATTTAATTGCCCCAATAAATTGGGCATGCAAATTTTTAATATGAAAACAAAATTATAATAATAAGGACAATTCACACAGCGCCATCTAGACCCAAGTTAAGCTAGCTAAAGCTTGTGTTATGGGTACTAGATAACTAATAGAAATATATAGATTTTTTTTTCGTTAATACATATACACATACGCTTTACTTCCGATGGTCGCGGGTTCGATACCTCGCTCGTTACGTACATTTGTATTAATGAGTAGGTATAATAGTTTGTATCGATCTTGATGTTTTCTATAATATGTATGTATTTACAAAAAAAATCCAAGTAATTATATCAGTTATCTAGTAACCATAACACAACACCTTGCTTGGGACTATAAGACGCTGTGTGAATCGTCCAGAGATATTATTATTTATTATTATATATTTTTTTAATATATTTACTAACATTAAGAAAACTATATTACTAATAAAACGGCCTGTAATAAAATAAATCAATAAATTAGTGACGATTTAACACACCGTATGTTATTTGCAAATTACACGATTAAAATGTACTAACTTTGTCGAATCGTAGAAAATTGCAAGTATGTTATTACTAAAATAGTATTATTAAATAAAAATAAAAAAGAATTAAATCATAGCCAAAAGAGCATGGGCTCACGAGATCAGCTTTAAGTTATTTTTTATCAGCGTCCGTCGCGGTGCTGTAGGTGTTTATAAACAGTAATTGTTCACCATAAGACTGGACGTAAGTATATTTGATGACGGAATAAGTTATTAATAAGTACAATAACTTCTTTGAATTCGAATATTATCGCAAAATATTCACTACAACTTTAATTATGTCACTGACTTCCTCATATCAGAATAAAGTTGTGATTATATCGCCTATGATTGCAATTGATTAGTGAACTCGGTAAGTACGATGGGCATAACATAAGGAACGTTTTTATTTTAGAGAAATTGTAATATTAATTTTCGGTAAATAAATAAAACCACGAATATAAAATATATACTTACTTATAGCTTCGCAAGCAATACAATCCGTCGTAGATATCACATTATTATCTAAATTTTGTGGCTCCGACCTCTGAATCAAACATTTGTTATAGTATAACGGAGTCCAATCCCAAATAGGAAGCATTTTTATCAACATCACCCTCGCAACTGCTGATGCATGCCATTGAAATGTATCCGTCTGAACAACGGTGTACCCCACGGCTGCAACCATGATTACGAACAGCACTACCCTCGTCCACCTCTTGATGGAAGCCTTTCTCACAGCATTCGTCAGCGGTCGACAAATTATATCCATCTCTTCATCCGTCATACCAGCTTCTTTACAATATTCGTAAAAAGAACGCACTTCTGAGTTGATTAACTCGAATTTTTCACGTTGAGACATTTTCGTCCCGTTTTTGAGACTCATTTTTGCTGCGTGACCTGACGTAGGTCCCAGCGATCGATAGAAAATTTGCAACGGGGCTATCTTATCGAATGAAATTTGGCGCGCGCGCGTTATTGCTTACTCCTTTTTGTTATGTTGTAAACTTGCGTCACGGAAGTCAATGACATAGCAATACAATAAAAAAAAACCGTGTTTGTCGATTTAGTGATTATGGCGTATGGTTATGGCAATTATTAACAAGGAAAGTATATATATTTTTTAAATATTAAAACTTAAATGTTATTACAGGTACTTACTTTAATTCATGAATTGGAATTTTATCATATTATTAGAAAATTATTCTATGGAACGCGTTACAATTTATTTTAACTTCATACATAAATAGTGGTTCAGCCGTTGTGGGAGAAAATTTATTAATATGCTCAAAATATATTAATCTTTTAATTTTAAAGTAACTTAAAATAGGATCACAGAGTACCAAGTATTTTTTTTAGATAATTGATATTGATAGTGGTAACACTAAAAGTCAAATACCTTTCCGCCATATTGAAAGTTCTGAAGTGGGAAGTCGGTCAAACGTTGACCCTATTCAACATTTCTATTTATCGTTTAGCGATATTTATTCTAAAAGTGTTCTAAAAAAATACTTATATATTTAGTGATATGCCTGTAGTGATTTGTATTTGAAAAAGTGTATATTTACTTTTTTGCAATTTGTTTGATGAATACGTCACAGCGCCATGTTGTATTCCTGCGCTGATTGCAGGCACGAGAAATCTGCCAACCCGTTTATTTTTCGGGATTAGTTCCCGAGAATAAATCGAACTGCGATTTTGTACTCAAATATATTTTAATTTATATTTGTTGGCAAATGTCAAACAACTTTAGTGAAATCGATGCATCCCTGTTGTCGCATTTCGAGTGTTAACTCTTAATTTCAACTGCAGTTTTGTGCATCCGCGAAAGTTGAAAGGACTGTGTTGTAAAAGAAAGAACTAATAATTAGCCAAAATTCCGGTCCCTACGCGCAGACGAGAAGGTGCCTACCCACCGGGGCAGTCGGGCGACGGAGATATGAACAATAAACGCAAAAATCGCCAAGGACCGCCGAGGTAATTGTCATTTTATGTTCATCAACTTGCACTACAGCATTGTATGACATCCCTTTGTTATTTGTAATGATGTGCAATGCTGCATTGGCTGGGATTGTCACGTTGACAGTGTTCATTCCCCGTTTTGGAGTGGTAAACAAGGCATTAGAACAGTTTGCTAAATTCTGGGGTGTGATTAGTATGAAAGCGCGATCGGTACGGCGCGTCATCCCTTCTCTAAATGTTTGGCCTACTTTTGTCTAGAACTCCCGATTAAATTAGGCGCGCGCGATCAGCTGGTCCTAAAATTTGTCTCATGATCCACTAATAATAACCCTTATCACTATTGAATTTTGTGTGTAACATTAATACTGTTTTAAAATGCAAAATTTGCTGTTTTAGTGGTTGTTTTCTGTGATTGTAGATGTAAGAACTTCATGTTAATTGTGAAGCTTTCACTATATGTTCTAACAATGGAATATGCCTGGCATTTGTCCAAACCTCTTAATTAATGTGATTTTTAATTTATATTCAGTTTGAGATGTATATTTTAAACTAAATGTAATAGTATAACAATAATTTTTATGACAACTGGAACTCCTTAGCAGAATAACAGTTTAGGTATGATATGATATTAATTTGTCTTTTTAAGGTTGGTGGTTAATTATGCCTCATGTATTAAATAACATGTTGTACCCTCTATGATTTTTTGTCCGTTTGCTGCTCCGAGATATCTCATGGGAAGTATTTACACAATATCCTTTGTTCTTGTTTATGAATTAGGATAGATAATTATTAATCAATATAATACAAGTGACTTTCTTACACTTTCATACCACATGCACATATCCTGGCATAGATTAATAGACAAATATTTTTTACTCATATTCTGAAAAGCAAAGAGCAGTCAACTGAATATAGATAGTGTTGTTACCACTATTTAACATGTTGAAGACCTCATTGCTAAATCTTATTTCTTACATATTTAAAAAACAATAATCATAATTAACAATAAAAAGAATGCCGTCTTCTTTTTATTGTTAATTACGATTATTGTTTTTTAAATATGTTTTTAGGCTCCAAAGGTTAAAGTAGACATTATTTAACCCCTAGATTTATTTCAATTAAAGTGCCCACAAGTGATCATCTGGTCCACCATGTAAATTTACTTTTCTTGCGGAGTAATGTAATGTGTTAAGATATATTTTTAAGTATAATAGACATACTTTGCATAAAATTGTCTGCGTGGGCAGCCATCAAGCAGCTTGCTTTGTAAGCTGCATAATAAGTTGATAAAACAGTGAAATTACAGGATAACAGGCATGTCATATTATCCTCGGAAATAGAAATGTATGAATAATATCATGGGTGTCACATGATAGATGGTGAACAGTTACCAGCAAATGATGTGTGAATAGCCAAACTCAAGCATAAACAAAATACATCCTTTGGAAAGTAAACACTATTCTAAGCAGATAAAAATCATCACTCCTAAGAATATCCTTCAATTCTTGTCCAGGGTCTAGGTAACAGACTCTGAAAAAGGGCAAGTTCAAAAGATCTATGTAAGGGCACTGCTACAGGTCCAAGCATGTAACAAAAGCCCAAACACCCTCAATTAAAAAATATATACAAAAGATTTTGTTGTCCTTTAACCTTTCATAGTTTTGAGCAGAGGTATAGCATATGCAACTGAAGTTATATGCATGTTAATACATGGATGTAAACTATTGGAAAGAAATTTTCGTATTTATAGTCAATACTGCTTAGAAAGACGTTGCATAGTTTAGAAGCAGAGAAACAGATTCATACATGAAAACTGCACTTTGCTCTTAATTTTTAGATTTTGAATGATAGGGAAATGGCCATCACATGATATATAAATAAATCAAAGTTTTGTATCTTACAAACATCCATTTTTTTTTATATATAATTTTATATAGATGCAATAATGGGCCATATGCTTATTTGCCATGTATGTGGTATAAAAAAAATTGTCTTAGACATTCATAGTTTAAGAGCAACACTCTTGTTGGTGGAACTCTTGCCACTTGCTACAATCCTCCATCAGTCTATAAATATTGATATGACAGGACTACAATTTTATCCTTAATTGTAACTGTGGTTTGATCATCCCCTCCCGCTTGATCCTTCTATACCTATCTAATAATATTCATGTATTGATCATGCTATATCAAGTGTCTCAACATTTTCCCTCAACATTTTTTCAATAGTATTTAACATCCATCTTTTCCACTTCTCCCTGTATAGTTCTTCTTTGTTTCTTACTGTATCTTTCTAGTTTCTCTCCATCCTTCTCCAACCACATTTCAAAAGCTTCTCATTACATTAAAATTTCAAAATGAACCTCTACAATGTTAATCTAAAGTGAATAAGTTGTAGAGTTACAATACAATGTGAGTTGATTTCTAATAACTTTATATAAGTTTCATTACTAACTGATGTGGTTATTACTAATTTGTTATCAATACAAATATGCTCGTCATTGTGTTAGGAGCCGCTGATAAGGCGACGAAAGTGAATGAGATGATTTCATTTTAATGTTATGTTGTCTCGTTATTAATTATCTGATGTATAAAATTCTCGTGACGCGGTGTTCGTTACCAAACTCCTCCGAAACGGTTTTGCCGATTTTTATCAAATTTTCCATGTATATCGAGTGGGTCTGAGAATCGACTAATATCTATTTTTTAAAATTCTCGTGACGCAGTGTTCATTACCCAACTCCTCCGAAACGGCTTTACCGATTTTTATGAAATTTTACATGAATATCGGGTGGGTCTTAGAATTGGCTAATATCAATTTTTCATACTCCTCAATGATAAGGGTGACCCACCCCTAAATATTTATAGTTATTAATGTCTAATATATAAAATTCTCGTATGCCGTGTTTGTTACCAAACTGCTTCACAAACGCCTTTACCGATTTTTATGAAATTTAATGTGCATATTGAGTAGGTCTGAGAATCGGTAAACTATATTTTAAAATCGTCTAATATTTTTTTGCACGTAATAAAAGTAATGTTTTTATATTTAGTTACAATTATTTTTTCTATTCCTTGTTTAGGTTTTAATGGTTTCATTTTAATAGTGATAAACGTAATCTCGCATTACAAGAAATTCAAAATTAATTAACAACTGTCAAAGAATCAAACTACATATAATACTAATGTTTCGAATGTGTGTCTGTTTGTTTACAAATGACTGATAAACTGATTTTAATAAAATTCTACTAGAAATTATAATTTGAATAGATTGTATCTAGAAGAACGGGTTATCTACCTCAAGAAAAAAAGTGACTAGTCTATATATAATAAATAAAATTGAATTGTCTGTTTGTAATTACAAATTAACAGCTTTCACTGAATGCATATGAAAGTAGGTATAGACCGTACTTGCATAAAATGAATTTAAAAAAATTGTTTTCTCTTTGTTCCTGCTAATCTCTGAAACGGCTGGATCGATTTTGATGGGACTTTCACTCGCAGATAGCTAATGTTATATGGAGTAACTTAGACTACTTTTATTTTAGAAATTGTATTTCGTTGTATCATATTCAATTATCTACGTGGAGAAGGCAACACATGACAAGCCCACAATCAGCTATCGATGGCTTGTTATCAATGTTCCCATCAACGGAGTATTAGTCATACGCTTTGCAACTGTAACTAAACTATGCCTTGTAGGATGGTTCCTTGTTATTAATGTGGACTAACCCCATTGCTAGCAATGAGCCACGTCATTATATATGTATATATGAAAAGAATACGAGCTGAGTTTCTTGTCAGTTCTTCTCATCTCGAAATCATTCCGAACTGACGGTAGATTTGACATATTATAAGAGTCTGTAATAGGCCTATATGAATAAATATATTTTGAATTGAATTTGAATATGAGCGTGTTCTATTACTTGACACTGTTTGACGCTACCGCAAACATTCTATACAAGGTTATCAGGACAATGCCGGATAGTGTAATGAATCACCAGAAAAATAAACACCCACACACACGACTTTATACAAAGTCTGTCGCCTGAAGATAGAATTTTCAAATATACTTGACGGCCTCGGTGGTTTAGGGGTTAACCACACAGCTTTACTTCCGATGGTCGCGGGTTCGATTCCTCGCACGGTGTAAATGTTTGTATTCATGAGTGAGATTGTATGTATTTACAAAAAAAAATAAGTTATAAATACTTTTTTTTTTGTAAATACAAATTCTGTTTTGTACCGATAACACAAGCTCTGCAATGAAACATTACAGTTATATTGCTTAGATAGTCGAATGACAATGAAACTGCAGGCACAACTAGTATAAATATAATTTTAAAAATAAATGATAACTAAGTTACTCCTTATAATATTAGCTATCTGTAGTGAAAGTCTCGTCAAAATCGGTCCAACCGTTTCAGAGATAAGCAAGAACAGACAGAGAGACAAAAAGTTTTAAGTTATATTTTTGATCTGCTCTAATCACTACGACTGATTTAATCTTATTGTGTATTGTTTAAATTTTTTACCACACACAACCACATTGTGAAATCACCTTCCAGCGATAGTATTTCCGAACAGATACGATATTGAAACCTTCAAGAAAAGAGCTTATTCCTTTTTAAAAGGCCGATAACGTACTTGCAATTCCCCTGGTGTTACGGGTGCTCATGGGCGGCGGTAATCACTTACCATCAGGTGAGCCGCATATTCGTTTGTCCCGTGTTATAAAAAATATTTTGACTAATGAATTATAAAGAATGATAGTTGGTAGCTTGTATTCAGACATTTCAACTTAACAAATCACGCAAGGTTCTTGCTCTTTAGTTATATGATGTCTCATCATATAACTCCGAATGTGCGGTAGATTAAAAAAAGATAACTGCGCCTGTACAAAAGTCCTCTCTGATCTATCCCCCGTCGGGGATCGAAATTGCGACGGGCTGAGTAGAGGTTTGAACCCCTAGCGGTGCCCTCAGACTAAAGTCGTATCAGTCAAGAGGGAGTTGACCTTCAGCCGCGCCATAAGTCCTTCCAAGGCTTTGGAGTGCCGTCTGCACTCGCCCCCTATCATTCGATGATGCTGTAAAGGCCAGCTGCGGCCAACAGCATTAGAGTAGTCCGAAAAAAATGTACAAAAGTGCTTAAATTTAAATTTATTTTAATATATGTTTTCAATTGTATTTATATTTAATAAAAAGCTGTTAATTTATTTTAATGAATTATTCTATTCTATATGCATTAAATGATAATCAATTAATTAGAAATTACCAACAGACTCATCAATTTTATTTGAACAGATGGGCGTAACATTTTATTAGTACTTGCAAGTGTTTATAGATTTATAGATTATGCAGTAGACGCTTTTGTGGAATATTTACTGCGCATGTTTCAGGCTGAAGCTATTCGCCGATACGAGTTTTAACATTGACTGCGTCTGAACTTTGACCCCAGATCTAAGCAGACTGTTAGCTTTGAAATGCATTAACGTAATGAAATATATTTTAACTAGTAATAAAACAAAGAAATCAATAGTTAAGTTTACATAGTTATCTATATAAATAATAAATGAAGCACTTTGTAGCATTTTGTTTCACTTCTTATAGCTTTGTGTTTACGAAAATTGCGCTGATGGTGGAGTATGAAATTTCACACACTTATAGTTTATATAAATAACTAACTACTCGCCCCGGGTTCGCACGGGTGTACATTTATTATATATATAAACCTTCCTCTAGAATCACTGTCTATTTAAAAAAAACCGTTGCGTAGTTTTAAAGATATAAGCATACATAGGGACGGACAGACAGCGACAGCGACTTTGTTTTATACTATGTAATAATAATACATATATACATTTAATGTGACGAATACATTACTCGTTCCGCGACAGTATATTTAGCAAACATTTTTTTAATAAGTATATATATTGGACAGCGTTTGAATGCGTCCAGGGAGTAAGTTCCAGAGCCGTGAATATTGTCGACCAAAAGAATTAGTTACAAAATTAGTTTTATAAAAATTTGTTTGATAAATGCTTTATAGTAATTTATTATTTATTACCTACACGCCTCGACTTCGCACGGATGTACATGTATTATACAAACTTTTCTCTTAAATCGTTCTATCTATTGCTAAAAACTGCATTAAAATCCGTTGCGTAGTTTAAAATACCTAAGCGAGCACTGCGATAGTGACTTCATTTTATACTATGTAAAAAAATATATTTTAATTGATAATAATGGACTGGTGCACGCCTGCGCTAGCGGTTTGCGGTGGTGGGGCACCAGCGGAGGATGATAAGATGAACATGAGGTCAGGTCAGTTAGCCCATCGTGACATTTACCAGAAACTTATCACGATAGATTTTAGGGGGAACTGCGTGAAGGTCAACCTGATATGGTACATAATAATACTATAATAACTCAGGACAATTCGACGACCTCGGTGGTCTAGCGGTCTAGCATACCGCTTTACGACCGATGGTCGCGGGTTCGATTCCTCGCACGGCACAAACATTTGTATTCATGAATATGATTGTTTGTATCGGTCTGGGTATTTTCTATGTATAATATGTATCTATTTACGAAAAAAAAAATATCTATGTATTTGTATCAGTTGTCTAGGACCCATAACACAAGCTTTAGCTAGCTTAACTTGGGTCTAGATGGCGCTGTGTGAATTGTCCTGAGATTATTATTCACACAGCGCCATCTAGTCCCAAGCTAAGCCGAGATTCTGTTAAGTACTAGACTATTGATATCAATACATAGATTTTTTTGTAAATACATATATAATATACATAGAAAATCCAGTCCAATACAAACAATCATAATCATACACACAATGTTTTTACTATGCGAGGAATAGAACCCGTGACCATCGGAAGAAAAGCGGTGTGCTAAACCGCTATACCACCGAGGCCGTCAAACAAACACAACATTACTAGCAATGATCTCTTTAGTCGGCGTTACAAGCAATCCCATTCTCCAATCGAGATATATAAACCCAACAAATAATTCACTGCACACAGAAAACGTACCGTATTTTATCTATATTATCCATTGTACGATATGATTTAGGTCAATAGGAAATGACGTAATTGAAGATAATTGTATATTTTTAATTACAGGAAATAGAATCTTGTAATTATCGATGCGCTGTGAGTTGTCGTACTTTAGATATCGCGGAAGTTATATTTCCTTTCTAACGCTGGTCTATCTTCACGCTATGTCCTCTACGGGATATATACAGAGAAATGCTATTCTATTATTGTTATTATTTTTCTTTATTTAGCTAGACTAGCTGTAATCGCGACTTCGTCCGCGTGGAATTCAACTTTATTTTTTTTTTAAATAAAAGCAGCCTAAGTTACTCTTATTACATCCGCTACCTGCCAAAAAAGTCCCGTCACAATCGGTCCAGCCATTTCAGAGATTAGCCGGAACAAACAGACAGACAGAGACAGACAAAAATGGAAAAAAAAATGTTATTTTGGTGTTAATGGCTGGTAATTTATATTCATATGCATGTAGTAAAAAACGGTTATTTCAGTATTACAAACAAACACTCCAATTTTATTTATATAGATGAACTGGATGGATATGTATAGATGAACTCACGGTGGTCTATCGGCTTAGCATACCGAATTGCTTGAAAAAACAACAAGTCAATATTATTTACATCATCCCATTATTAAGGGGCTATCTGTAATTACGTCATACGTTAAGGGGGAGGGGGAGAAAATGTGACATTGTATACCAAGAAGTTGAGGAGTCACAAAATTTGAGTAAAAAATTAAGATTTTTTTTTATATTACGATAGTGGCTGAAAAACTGAACTGAAAATCTGATAGTAAATGGTAACCGTTAGCCTATGGGCTCCTGAAACATAAGGGTAACATTTGCATGTTCTCGACCCTAAAGAAATCTAGACAAATACACCATATCAGGAGGGTCTTAGACTTTGTGACAACACATTTCAATTTTGATAATAATACTGGAAATTTTATATATTAGATATAAATTTCTCGTGTCACAGAATTAACCGATTTTGATGAAATTTTATATGTATATTCATTAGTTCTGAGAATAGGTTTATAACTAATTTTTATACCCCTTAAGTGGTAAGGGTGGCTCACCCAAAAAATTGATTTGCATTTTTTAGACAAAGTTTTAAATTTTATTTTTTATTTTCTGGCATTTAAAAATGCATACATCCCTAAATTATCACCAGCCCCTATTTTTCAATAGCAATTTTAATTTATATGGCAAAACGTTTGCTGGATCAGCTAGTAATAATATTTTAAAATGTGACCAGTTTACAATTACCCGTAGAGAGAGGGGTGAGGAGGGGGTATTAGGACAAAGGATTTTTTTTTTATTTTTTACTTGCTCCTTTAGGTTTGTTTGAAATTGAATGTATGACCTAAGATATATCGATGGCCCCTTATGTCAACCACTCAACAGCCGTTCAACAATTTGTGACAGGTCGCCAAGAAGCCGTGTGGTGGCAGAGGGTGTATACAATAACGCACATTTCATGCATGCAGCAACCACGCACGTGGGCGACAGTGTGCAAGTGTTGACGAAATCTGGTGGCCTCTGGGAAGGCATATTCAAAACTTTCAGTGCCCAATTTGAAGTGAGTACTATTATTTTTTTTTATTTTAAGTTAATTTCATTTTATTCAATTTATTTGTTTCAGTCATAAATTATTAATTTCATTCAAATTATGCATTTTATTAATTTCATTCGATTTATTAATTTCAGTCATTTTATTTAAGTCATTTCAGTCAATTTACTCATTTCAGTCATTTAGTAATATCATTCAATTTATTCATTTCATCCACGTTATTCATTTCAGTCATTTTGTTCATTTCATTATGTAATTTTGGACGAAGCTTCTTATGAAGCTTGTAAACAACATTAAACTAAGTAATTATATTTCGGTCATGTCATGAGACATGATAAAATAGTCTCCAACTGTCATTTTAAGAAGACTGCTAGAAATAAGTGCAAGTCTATAAGAATAGCTTAGTGTATTTCATATAACAAACATAAAATACCTTCACGATTGTTACCCAAATTGGGGTAGTTAGAGACATTGTCAATGTCGACCGCGACTTGATGAACACAACAATTGACATGCCCGCATTTCACGATTTGTATGTAATGAGGGGGACCATGTTACCGCTCTCAATGAGGTTATTTTTTTTGTTATCGATGTTTCCATCACCGGAGAGTTAGTCAGAAATATAATCTGCACACAAATGTGTAAATTCGCACGCTCTCATTTAAAGTCGGGTACCCATAATTACATGTAGATGTTAAGTAGTTTCTACAAAGGTCATAGTTTACAAAATCGTCTGAATGGGAAACTCGGTCTCAAGTAGCAATTGTTTCAGTCGACAAGTAGCTTGCTTTGTGAGTTGTTTTTCTTGAAGGATGAAATAAGGCAGTGATATTACTAGATATAATGGCTTTTTTAACTATTCTAATGCTGTCGGCCGTAGCTGCCCTTTACAGCTTCACCGAGTGATAGCGATAGCGAGTCCAGATGATACTCCAAACCCGCGGAACGACTTATGGAACTGTTAAAGGCCAACTCTTGCATGTCAGATACTACGCCTTTATAGCTTCACTGAACGATAGGGACCGAGTGCAGATGGCCCTCCAAACCCGCGGAAGGACTTATGGAGCGGCTGAAGGCTAACTCTTGCATGTCAGTTACTACGCCTTTATAGCTTCACTGAACGATAGGGACCGAGTGCAGATGGCACTCCTAACCCGCGGAAGGACTTATGGAGCGGCTGAAGGCTAACTCTTGCATGTCAGATACTACGCCTTTATAGCTTTACCGAACGATCTGGAGCGAGTGCAGGTGATACTCCAAACCCGCGGTAGGACTTATGCAGTGGCTGAAGGCATCTCCTAACGGATATGACTAGTCTGAGGGCACCGCTAGGGGATCGAACCTCGGCTCGAGTCGGTCGTAATTTCGATCCCCGTTTGAATTAGACGGGGCGTCGATCGAAGGGGACGAGATTTATAGGAATGGCATTTTAGTCTTCGGGAATCAGTAATGCATAAGTATGGGTACTATATGATAACGTGATACCCATACTGTTGTTCATGTATATAGGCTGTCCCCTCCGATCGAACCCCCGTCCAATTCAAACGGGAATCGAAATTACGACGGCCTGAGCCGAGGTTCGAATCCCTAGCGGTGCCCTCAGATTAGTCATATACGTTAGGAGTTGGCCTTTAGCAGCTGCATAAGTTCTCCCGCGGGTTTGGAGTGCCATCTGCACTCGGTCCCTATCGTCCGGTAAAGCTGTAAAGGCCAGTTGCGGCCAACAGCATTAGAGTAGTCCGTAAAAAAATGTATATAGGCGACGGTTGCCACTTACCGTCAGGTACGTCAAGTTATTTGATACACCAGTAAGTAATGATCAGATAGTTAAAGTCAGACAGATAGATCAAATGCGAATACGTAATTTTCGTCTCTTGTAAACGTACATTAACGGTTTTCGGTTATCTAGGCACGTAGCTACGTGGGAAACTGGGGCAAATCAATAAACGCAGTATAACTTCCGACATTTCAGGCGTTGTGTGCGACGGACTATCAGCTGAGTTGCAGATTCAATACTGCATTTTCAAACGACATCTATATGTATAATAAATATATAGTAATATATATATTATGCCTAATGATATACTCTGAACCACACGATACAGACTTGCATATCTAGTGTGTGGTTCGCCGTAATGTGTATTAAATGTAAAAGTGTTTTATCGGCTAATAAAGTTAATTATTATTAATAATAATAATAATTAACTTTGACGACCTCGGTGGTCTAGCGGTCTAGCACACCGCTTTACGATCGATGTATTTTGTATGTAATTTGTATGTATTTACAAAAAAATATCTATGTATATGTATCAGCTATCTAGTATCCATAACACAAGCATTAGCTAGCTTAACTTGGGTCTAGATGGCGCTGTGTGAATTGTCCTGAGATTATTATTATTATTATAGATAAAATTTCCTTATTGTATTCATTCTTATATATATAATAGATATATACAAGAATAGAACATTTTATATTCAAATAAACTTAAGTTTATGGACTTCTGAATGGTCATACTTTTTTTTTAATCTACCGCTTTTCGATAATTGGACGTATTATAAAAATCATAAAACAGTAGATATATGAGAATAGAATAGAATAGAAATTCGAATCTTATTTATGACGACTACTTTTTGGCCCGACTCTATACTCGTTGTTGGAAACTATTTTATATACCTTTTTTATTGTCTATACTTCTTATAATATTATATTGTTTTCATATGACATAAGTCAATTTATTACACAAATATTCTACAACTATATCGGTGCCGTTTTTCTTTTGCTCGTCGTCTTGGTCTCCATCCTTCACACTCGTCCTATCATCCTCCACTGGTGTTCCGCCAGCGTATACTCTTAGGGCAGGCGTACCATTCCATTATCTTTTTTAACATACATAAAAGAAATGTATTATCAACACGGTGTAGTTTTAGGAGAAGAAATGAAAAGCAGTAATGCTCTTTTGTATAAAATTAATTCATTAGAGAAATATTTATAGATAAGTTTTGTATATACTTCTGCCTACCCCATGTCGCCTACACGGCGCGAAGATGGATATATACGAATAAAGAAGTCGTTTAAAGTTATTGGATAATAAAAATCGGCACGACAAAGGTTAACCTGTTAATGAACTGGTCGGGCGTCAAATTCTCCGAAACGTATGCCAAATTTTATTGCTAATTTGAAATTGTTAAGGTGGCATTTGAAACGGGTTAGGTAAAGAAACGATATATTTAAATTTCACCCAAACACGAATATAATAATTATATCTCAGGACAATTCACGCAGCTCCACGGTGAGTAGTATGTATGGGTACTAGACCGATATAAACAATCGTACTCATGACTACAAATGTTTGCACCCGTGCGAGGTTTCGAACCAGCGACCATCGTAATTAAAGCGTGTTAAACCGCTGGACCACCGAGGCCGTCAAATGCATTTGATCAGAGGCATTTGAAAGTATATATAGTATTTACATAACTTTTTTTTGTCTTTGTAATCATTGCAACTACTAGACTGATAGCTAATGTTTTATGAAGTAACTTAGGCTACTCTTAATTTAATTAAATTTTTATAAAAAAAAAGATATAAATTCCACGTAGATGAAGTCACAATAACAGCTAGTATAAATACATTCAACGTGTCGTTTCATGTGTCCCAACTTTTTACAATACAATATGAATATATAAAAATATAGACCTGTCATAAGTTAGATAAGCTACACACTTATACGTACTTCAAGTATGCTTAGAGAAAAAAACTTGATAAGAAAATACGACGAGTCCCGTGTAATATATTATTTACTTGAAACACTTGAGCTTTTATGGTAAAAATATTACGTCAATACAAAAATAAATATTTAAAACTATTTTGGACATTGACTGGGCGGATGTAATTATCTTTTTAGAGTTGACTTAAATTCAGTTCACAAAATTGAGGAACTTATTTAGATTTCCATAATATAAATAAATAATAAATAAATCTGCATAATTAACACAGCGCCTTCTAGTCCCACGGTAAGCAGCAGCAGCTTGTGTTATGGGTACTAGACAACTGATGTTAAAAACTAATAATCAGATAATTTTATTTTTGTAAATACATACATAATATGTATAGAAAACACCCAGGCCGATACAAACAATCATACTCACGAAAACAAATGTGTGCACTATGCGAGGTACCGAACCCGCGATCATCGAAAGTAAAGCGATATACTAAACCGCTAGACCACCGAGGCCTATTCCACTTTTCTTTGTTCCTTGTAGCTAGAGCGCTTCTATTCTTTTTTTAAGCCTATATGGACGGAAAAAGTTACCAAATTCTTAATTCACATATTTCATCCGTCAAATTTAAAAACCTCCAGTCTGGCACTGTCTAAAATTTATTGTAAATATGGACATATAATGTTAATATTAGTTGTACTGTACTATCCGCATTTCGCCTCTCATTTGAGCTAAACATACATAAAACGTAAATAAAATCAAATAGGATTGTGTATTAAAACCAAGCTCATAAAAACATTTTGTTATGGATTTTGTCAAGCAGAAGAGGAAACACCAAAACATATCCTATGTAATTGCAGCCCACTCATGCATAAACGAAATATCTCCTTTGGAAAGTATACACTCTATCCTGAGGAGATAAATACCATCGCTCCTAAGAATATCCTTCAATTCTTGTCCCTCACGGTTCTAGGTAGCGGACTTTGAAAAAGGATAGAAAATAGGTCTATGCAGGTCGCAATGTCACAGATTTTAGCACCTAACAATAGCCTAATAAAAGAAAATCTCCTGCATTACGAGTGTTATGTGGATATATATCCTTGGCTTGGCGTAAAAAGTTACCGATGTTTTTTAACATAATAAGGGCGAGCGCAATAGATCTTGTTTATGCAGATCGCAGTGGCACAGGTCTTAGCACCTGACAATAGCCCAAAGTCGCCAATAAAAAAATATTTATAAAAATAAATCTGATACTTTTTCATTGCAAACGTAAGTTAGTCAGATAAAACGCTTCTATTACTTGCCTAATATTTCTCTAAAGATAACGTTGAGCATCTGTTATCTAAGATAAAGATAGATCTAAGAAGACGTGAAACGAGCATAGTGATAGCTATAGTATGTTTTTTAATCTCAGAGACTAAATTGACAGGTATAAATATCAAATTAAAAAAATATATTACTAGCTGTAGGGCCTGGGGGTATCTCCTGTACCTGAAAAAATGTTCCTAACTGTAGGCGAGTATTCCCTGTATCTGCGATATCGATTGGGTGAATCATATGTTTATACGAATTTTTTTCAAATTTACGTACATACATATTACTGTCTTTGTATTAAACATCACAAAAATACATTTTTGTAGTTAAATGTAATGATTTTTGTAGTTTCCGTACATATAGTAAATGTAATGTTATTAAGCTACAAATCAAATGTTTTTTCAAACATCTAATTACATTAAATAGGTGCATATTTTATGAAATACTAACTACCCATTCCGGCTACGCACGGGTGTACATGTATGTACATGTATATGTACATATATACCTTTCTCTTAAATAACTCTATCTACTGCTAATAAATGCATTAAAATACGTTGCATATTTTAAAACAGACATCCTAAGCTTATTAGAAGCTAAGCTATTTCATACTATGTAAAGATGACGCAATACGATGGTCATTATTTTAAAATAAACATCCACATATTATTTCTGAGTAATTAATTTTATTTACCGATAGAGTCACAACCCTAAGAATAGCAAAAAACTGTCAATGTAGACAATGTCAGAGGATCTAGCGGGTTAAGGATAAAACTGAAATGACGTCGGATCAAGGGTCCTTACCATGTTTTTATTGTCTTTCATCTGAAATAGCCATACATTAAATCTCACACCCCTAACCCCTGTAGTAAGGGAATAATGGGGGTGACTTCACTTGAAAAAAAAAAAAATTTCTCAGTACCTATCCAAGATATCTTCATGAAATTGAAAACTATTGATAAACTAAATATAATACGTATATATTTTAAAGATTTTAGCTATTTTAGAAACTGTAAAAAACGAGAACTATATTTTTTGAGGTTTATTTTTTTTATACCAACACCTCATTTGTCAGTAATACTTAACAAAAACATATATCTTATTAGTTATCTATTACGGATACTTGCATTCATATATGTCAATCTTCATACAAAAATATATAAACACCTGTACACTTATCATCTATACATATATATAAAATTGGAGTGTCTGTTTCTAATATTGAAACAACCGTTTTTTACAACATGCATATGAATATAAATACAGTACAGACAACAAAATATTATTTTTTACAATTTTTGTCTGTCTGTCTGGTCCGGCTAATCTCTGAAATGACTGAACCGATTTTGACGGGACATTTTTTGGCAGGTCTGATCTAATAAGACGTAACTTAGGTTAATTTTATTTTAGAAAAATTATTTCATTTTAGAAAAATAAAATTTAACTCCACGCGGACGAAGTGATAAATAATTTTAGAGTTTAGTCGGTCGATACAAATCTTTAGCCTTTATAATGTTAGAATGTCAGTGTAGATTAGAGGTAAGCAATTAGAAGAAATGAAACGGGTGGGGCGCATATTGAACTATATCTATAGTTATCATAATCAGATAGTAGCCACCAATGAACTTCATTCAAACAGTGAATCATTGCTTGCAATAGAGTGCTACTGTACTACCATGCATCGTTTGATGTTTAAACTAATAACACAGTTTTAGCGGAGCGTTTAACGAATTTAGGAACATTTTACAGTTTGTGTTGTGATTAATGAGTGAGTGTTTTTTCATTACATAGTTTAAAACAAAGTCGCTGTCGCTGTCTGTCCCTATATATGCTTAAAATATTAAAACGGATGAAGACAAAAATTAGAACTAGTGGTCGCGCAGTGGTCGAAATTCGATAATTATATTAAAATGAATTATAAGTTGGAACATTATTAAGGTTCTATTCTTAGACTATAGACAAATAATATTAAAGACTAACAATATTAGACTAATCTAAATTTGACAGGCTTTAAAAATAAACAAAAGAGTATATATGCATGTGTTGTAGAAATATGTAGTAAAACTGTTTATGACTGGAATAAATGTATTTAATGGTAAGACGGTAGACAGTGAAGTGACAATTATATAATTTTCTTTTATAATTTTGATTACAAGAAAGAATACAAGAAAACTTTAAATATATTAATATCAAAAGAATATCAACAGCATGTGTGTCAAATACATTGTAGGGTATAGTTTTTTTTATAGAAGGAGGGTGTCACATATGTATTTGGATGGGTTATAAGGGCAGAGGAATACCGAAGAGATGGATGAACTGTGTGAAAGATGATATGGTAAGAAAGGGAGTAAATAACGAGATGACTGCGAACAGGGATGAATGGAAGAGAAAAACATATTACGCCGACCATAAATAAATGGGATAAGGAAGAAGCAGATAATGGATAGTTTTTTTTTTATTGAATTAATGTATTTTTTATACATAATTATAAAATTATATTGGTATGTTGCACTTGGTTGGTATGTTGTTATTGTTACTCTGTATAAACTATAAGTGTACGAAATTTCATACATCTCCGTCTGCATAATCTTCTTAAAAAGGGGTAGAAACTTTTTGCTTCATTTATACATATATGGATTATAAAACATTATAAAATTATCCAGGGTTATGGATAATTTATACAGCGCCCCAGTCATCTAGTTCCAAGCTAGGCAGAGCTTATGTAAGGGTTGTAGACAACTTATATAAATATAAATACTTAAACTAGACTAAAACTTATATAAATACATATATTTTTATTTTGTAAATAATTTTGGAAATAATCTTTATTCAAATAAAATAAATTAAATAAGAACTTTTGAATAGTCACATTTTTTATAGTACCACTCAATCGGAATGCAGACTCATCACAGGAAGAACGAGCAAGAAACTTGCGTGTTGCTCGTTTGAATAACTGTTGTTCTAAATAAATACACATTAATAAAGAGGAGGCATGCGACAATCAACATGGAAACTGCTAAGCACTCAATTTTTATGCAATCAGATAATATTGTCAGCGCTATGGATTTAAAGTTAGAAACATTATTGTCATTTATAAACTTGTCAATTCTATGATAAGCTTTTACAAAGAGAATATTTTATAAAGCATTCGCATCATTTTTCTAGCAGTTTGTTGTAAAACATTACGCAATTTCAAAAAAACAAATCACTATCTTTCGTCAAAGGGCACTTAGGTAAAAGTGCAGTTTGTTGTTATTACTTAAGATTTTATTAGTGAAATAGCTTTTTTAAAATTATCAATATTTTTTGGCAAAAAGTAAATAAATGAAACAGCTACTTGAATTACAAAATAAATCGGCATTTTTGATACGTTTACGAATTCTTCAACCCACCTTTGAAATCGCAACTGAATTCCACTCCGCTTCATAATACAACCATTTTCATCATCTGATAGCAAAGACACGGCGTTTCAAACTCATGTTTTTTTTTATGTAATGCCAAACTTGATAAACTGTAACTGTCGCCTACATACATGAACAACACCATGGAAATCACCATCCAGCTAATTCTTTCCATCCTTTTCCCACACGACATTACAAAAGCTTTTTTAAGTCCAAGACTTAAAAAAAGACTAGACTTTTTACGATAACATTTGCGACATCATATATGTTAATGGATATTCGTTTTTTTACAGGTGGTGTTAGAAATGGCTCACCGAGTGGACCAAGACGGAGTGGTGCCAGTTGATTCCGTTGTAGACAAACTGATTTTCAAGCCACAAGACGTAGTCTCCATCCGGGCGAAGGATTCGGACCTGGAGTACGCCACACATGATGTGTTCCAAACAGATAGTGCTATATCTAGCAAATTTAATGGTGAGTAACCTATAACTTATTATTATTGTGTAAAAACAATATATAGCATCATGACTAGGGCCCTTGAATAAACACATAGCGAAATTAGATCTTAGCGTAACAACAATCTGTAGATTTTACCAATCAGAAGAGGAAACGCCACTACACATCCTATGAGGTTGTAGCCCATTCCTACATAAACGAAATATCTCTATCCTAAGGAAAAAACCATCGTAATAAGACTATCCTTCAAATCTTGTTCCTGAGGGGTCTAGGTAGCGAACTCTAGAAAAGCCTATCTATGGTTGCAGTGCTACAGGTCTGACAATAGCCCAAACCACTCGATAAAAAAATGAACCGCATCCACTTGGAAGTGTATAGTTAGATGAAATAGCTGATAATAGCAACCTTGATGGTGCAAAAAGGAACTGCATGAAACATGAGCTAACTCGGGCGGGTCAGCACCACTCAATATTCAACCATTAAAAAAACCATAAGTTCCCGAGGCAGCAGTAGGTTCAGCTCCTCCATATGGAGGAGTTGAAACTACGTAATTCAAATATAGCCAACGAAAAGTGGATATATCACAGTTCATTATCAAATCAAATCAGAAATCATTTATACATGTTGGACATTTTAGCCGTTTACGAAGTAATAGGCTTCGGTAATAGGCTCTTGGTAATTTATTGTAAATTCATACATTGTGATCGTGTATACCTCACCTGGATATACAGTCGTGATGGTATAATCATTATCTAAAATTAACATTGAATCTGTGCAGGTAACGGTCGCTCCGCCGAGGAACGGCAGCTGGAACCTTGGGACGGCTGTGACGGCGACAGTGGCGACTCCCCCTCCCTGAACGGCGACGCTCGCCTCGAAGACTTGGAGCTGGACCACCGCGCCAACGGCTGGGACGCCAACGATATGTTCAGGAAGAACGAGGAGGTGTACGGTGTACATAGTACGTACGATCATTCCCTGGCAGGGTACACACTGCCCTTACAAAAGAAGGATACCCAAGATTACAGGTGAGGCTTTTGACTAGTACAATTCATACAGCGTCATCTAGTCTGGTACTTAACAGACAACTGATAGGCGTGTTATTTTTTTAATGCGTAATGTGAATGGAAAAATACCACAGAAATAATAATTATGTTATAATATCTCAGGACAATTTACACACACAAATCATTCATGAGTAGTGAATACAAATGTTTGTACCTTGCGAGTAGTCGAACGCGCGACGATCGGAAGTAAGGTGTTGTTCTAAACTGCTAGAGCACAGAAGCCGTCATAATAAACTCCAATGAGTACAAAATTAAACATTGTAGAAAGTCGTTTGCATGGGCACCTCATCCCATTATTTGGGATCAGTGCAGTGGGAGATGACATATCTTCCATCGGTCCCTATCAGCCGTTATATTTATGCTTTGCCTTACTCTACTTGAAGGAATATAATATTTCATACAGTCTTCTGTCGTCTTCTCCCTCCATCCATGAATCATTTTGTTATGTATATTTACAGAGATGCTGAAGCAAAGGCGGAGGAAATCGCAGCAGAAATCGAAAGTACTCCATCATATAAAAATCGAATCGAGGCGGAGAATGGTGATGAAGAAGCAGCTTTCGCGGCAGTATTGCGATCGTCAGAGGGCTCCGCCGGCAAATATGTTATACCCAATAAGAGAAAGAATAATAATCTGCAGGTATGGCTCATTTTTACTAGACTTTTTGTCAGACTACCGTAATTCTGTTGGCCGGATTTTTCTTTGTGGATGATAATGGAATGGTGCACCCGCCTGTGCTAACGGTTTACGCTGGCGGGGCACCAGTGGAGGATGATAAGATGATCATGAGGTCAAGTCAGTTAGCCCATCGTGACAAATTCACCAGGAATTTAACACGATGGTTTCCAGGGGGAAATGCGTGGAGGTCGACTTGACATGGTACATTGCTAGCAATGGGGTTATCAATCCACATTACTAACAAGCCCTAACCTCTTCCCCCCTGTTGGCCGGAGTTAGCTTCCACAGCTTCATCGGACAATAGGGGGCGAGTGCAGATGGCACTCCAAACCCGCGGAAGGACTAAAGGAGCAACTGAAGTCCAACTCCCGCTTGTCGGATACGACTTTAGTCTAAGGGCACTGCTAAATCTTCGAACCTCAGCCTCAAACTGTCGTAATTTAGATTCCCGTTTGAATTGACTTGGGTCGTTTAGACCTTTTAAATTACGTAACGGATTTGAATGCAGTTTTTTAGCAATAGATAAGAGAGATTCAATAAGAAGGTTTATATTTAAAATACATGCATATTATAGTACTGAAATGTCTAGGAATATAATGATATTTAATGATATTACTTAAAAATTTGCTTAAAAAATAGCAATTCAATGTGATTGTGTATTAAACATTTAAATTTGTTTAACATTTTAGCGTGAAAGTGTAATAAAAATTGTCTAGTTTTGCGTTTATATATTACCCGTTGCCATAATATATCTTCATACCAAGTTTCATTAAGATTTGTTCAGATATACACATTGAATTTATAATATTACTATACATGTATCTGCGGCTTCATCCGCGTGAAATTTATAGTCTTACTGTAAAGTTTAATCAAAATCTGTTCAGTAGTTTTTGCGTGAAAGAGTAACAAACAACCTTTGTCACAACCTTTCGTATTTATAATATCAGTAATAAAATAAATGTTTCAACATTTTATACATCTTGTATAAAGTGTTCAAACATTAATTTTGTATATACGTTTCATAAGACGTGAACGATGTGATTTAGAAGATTGTGTAGCATAGTATGCGTTCTTCTATAGTCGTAGGTTTTAGATAACACTTTTCATTGTATGTGTTCTTTTCCAGAGCGGCAAACTAGTGAAGCCGGTGAGCAACAACGGTGGTTCGTCGCCGAACACGAGCAAGCCGTACTCGGCGGCGGCGGCGCCCCCCGCGGCGGCCGGCCCCGCGCCCCCCTCCCCCGCCGCCTCCCCGGCCGGCCCCGGCCCCGCCCCCTCCCCCGGCCCCGCCCCCGCCGGCCCCGGCCCCGCCCCCGCCGGCCCGCCGGGACCGCCGGGCCCCAAGGACAAGGAGCACAGGCCGCCGCGCCCGCACCTCACGCCGCCCGCGGACCGCCGCCAGGACGACGCGGTCAGCTTACCTTCTGTTATTACTTGCTTTATTTTATTATATACAAAGGAATTATTCTAGAAAGACCTAACCGTTGGATATATGTTAATAATTATCCGGGACAATTCACAGTCATTTAGTCCATCCAAATAAAGTAGAAGCAAAAAGAGCTTGTGGTATGGGTTCTAGAGAATTTCTGCATGTTCATTTTTCTCTGTACTTTTATACTGGTATTATAAAGAGGTAAAGGTTGTATGCTGTAGGCATTGATGTCTGGATCTACTAAACTGATTTTGATAGTTCTTTTAGTGTTGGATAATACGTTTATCAGGGAAGGCTATATATATATAGGCTGTATACGTATCATACATCATGTAGTGATCAATAGCACCAGGGCTGCGACGAAAAATGCAGAATTTTTTTTAGAATTTAGATATTTATTCTTATTAAGAATTACAAATGATTCACTTGACATGAGAACTAAAAACAAACTTTTATAAAATTAAATAAAAATAAAAGAAGGTAGGGTAACATATAATGCAGACGGTGTAGTAACAAAATCTAAGCAGCAACTACCCGCATAAATGATAAGAGAAATACAGAGGAAATGTTACGTAGATGAAGTCGGGCTAGGTTCAGCTAGTGTAAATAAATACTCGTCCTCTAACAGGTGGAGATGCCTGCGTCGACAGGATGTCCTCCTTAACCTTAGCGCAGGCGCGTGCCATTATGATTTCATTATCATCCCTTTAAATGAGGTAGTAAAGTATAAGGCGTTTGTGTTGGCAGCCGGCGGGTGGCAAGAGCTACGCGGCGCAGGCGGGCGGGTACCACGCGCCGTTCCCGCACGCGCACCCCGCGCACCCCGCGCACCCCGCGCACCTCGCGCACCCCGCGCACGCACACGCCCACGCGCATGCGCATCCCGCGCACGCAGCGCATCTCGCGCACAGGTCAGTGTTCTTTATATGTGAAAAATCTTCAAAGTACAGTCCCGCCGCCAGAAAAGTGAGATTCTTAATTACTAAAAAGAGTGGCGAGGTCACGTCACTATTCCACCGCAACTTTCGGTGGCGTCTACGGCTCAGCCTGTAGATGGTGTAAGGCAGGCTCCATCTTGTATTAAAAATACAGTAATTAAGGAATACATTTTATATGTTACGAAAATAGTGACATAGGTTTGTGTTCTACAATGTCAATCGACAATAATTCATTACCAGAGTCGCTAGATCGAGTTAGCATTATACCGTAGTTATGGCGGCGTTTGGCCCGCCCTGTAGATGATATAGTTTGTCTCATTAGAGCGACCGGTTTCGCCCTTTGTGGAAATGTGTGAAGATACAACCATGTCTTCAGGGGGAAAGAGGATTGTTAGTAATGTGGACTTCATAACCCCATTACTAGCAATGTACCATGTGACTTCCATACGGCTCCCCCTGGAAATCATCGTGGTAAATTCCTGATGAATTTGTCACGATGGGTTAACTGACCTGCCTTCTTGTTCATTTAATGATCTTCCACTGGTGCCCCGTGATGATAATAGAATGGTATACTAATTTAGTATACCATTCTATTATCATCAATAATAAAAAAAACATGTCTTCGCGCCATTGCGCACTAATTGTACGAGTTTTGCATACTTTATAATTGACATATGTACTTTATAATGTTTAGTGGCGGCTCTCCGGCTGGCGGCGCTGGTCCAGGAGCGGGGAAGGTCAACGGTACACACCCTCGGCAGAGCTTCCCACCGCATCACCATCACGTAAGTATACATTTTCCGTATTACTAAAGGATTTATATTAAATAAAATTTATATTAATTTAAATCAAATTCAAAATATCTTTATTCATGTAGGTCTAATACAGACCCTTATGATATGTCAAATCTACCGTCAGTTCGTAATGATTTCGAGATGAGAAAACTAACAAGAAACTCAACTCGTATTCCTTTTAATTAATAATTTCTAATAATTCAATGAATTATTTTATTTAATTCCGCTAAAATTACTATGTGTGACCATAAATATTTAGTGCGGAAACTTGACTATCGACATTTTTTTATACCACGATAGCGGCAAACAAGTATATGGCTCATCTTAACGGTTACCGTAGCCTATGGACACCTGAAATAACAGGGGTGTAACGTCTGGTTGCGGACCGCTAAGACATTTTAATATTTAAATTTTAAGAAAGATCTTGAAAAATTAACGTTGTAGTTTAATGTTGATCGAATTCCAACTTTTATTGAGACTACAATCACATTTTTGAACTCGAGATCTTTAATTAATCGATTTCATTAGAGATAAAATCGTTGTTAAAATCTTACATTTCTTAATATTTAATTTGATTGATGTAAACTGATGAAATTTGCCTATGTTGATGATTGTTACGATGGAAAAAAATTTGGATTTAATTATTTTAATGTGATTAGAATGACAAGCAAGCTAATATTGATTTATATTTTAGAATACTAAGATTTCATGCCTCTGATTTCAATATGTATGTATTTACGAAAAATAATATGTATTTATATCAGCCGTCTAGTATCCATAACACGAGCTCACTTTAGCTTGCAACTAGATGGCGCTGTGTGAATTGTCGTAACATTATATGTCGTAAAATATAGCCTGTGTGTTATTCTGATGCGTAAGGTGTATTACTATAGCGTTTCATCAAAATCCGTTGAGTAGTTTTCGCGTGAAAGCGTAACAAATATCCATACTTACAAAGTTAGGCGTTTATAATATGAGTAAGATGTAACTGAGCGTTGTGTCCGTCCCGTAGAGCGGCGCGGGCGGGCCGCGAGACCCGCGCCGACCCGACGACGTGCAGGTACGTGTCGCCACACACACGCACACACACACACACACACACACACACCACCTCACTACCAGCCGCTCCATATGTCCTTCCACTGCTCCATATGTCCTTCCGCCGCTCCATTGCTACTTCCGTGGATCTATATAACCTTCCATCACTATATCTAACCTCCCATCGCTCTATATAACTTTCTGTTCACCTATATATCTTTCCATGACTCTATATAACCTTCTGTTGCTCTATATATCCTTCCGTCGCTGTATATAACCTTCTGTTGCTCTATATATTCTTCCATCGCTCTATATAAGCTTCCGTCAGTCCGTATATTCTTCTGTTGCTCCATATGTCTTTCCGATGGTTCATATAACATTCCGTCGCTCCATGTATACATCCGCCGACTTGGACTGTTTTCTGCACCTCGGCAACAACCAATGATTACAAACACCATTTGAATAATAAAAAAAATCCTCTACCCCACATTAACTCCAACTTACCTTACTCCACTGATAATGAACTCCTAAGGAAAGACTTATTAACCATAACCTCATTACAACTGTATGATATTAATGTGCACATTCTGTCTCTGCATACTATCTAATCTACCTAACTCCTTACCCCATCGAGCCCTACTATTCTACTACTACGTGCCCATATTCATCCTTAAAAAAATTGACTATTCTACTGTTATACCAATTCTGTTAACAGTTATATCAAAAACTACAATTTTAATAAAAAGTATGGCGATTATAGATTATAACTACAAATTATACTTTGTAAATAACAAAGTTGCAATGTGTAACACAAATCCTCAGATATTATCATGTGTTAAAACTTTGATAAAACATTTGTATTTTGGTGAAAGATTGCAATAATTATTATATATAATTAATACATACATACATTACATTTACGTCCCACACTTGATTTATATTTTTTATAATGTATGTTCAAATATCTCCAAGTATTTATTGAAAGCTATGAAACTGCATCTGATTGGATTACAGCTAAAACTTACATTTACTTACACTTAATTACAACAACAGAACAAGATTAAAGAATGTATTGATAAGCTTTTATAAACTTCTGACAATGATGGAACTGTACCTAAAAAACTTCGGTTACAGGAACTTCGCCGGTTTGGTCAGGACTTCAAACTAGTGTCCTCAGCTGTGCCACCACAGCAGCCGCCAGTGAATCCGCAACCCGTAAGTACCATTCACACTACTCTACACACTGACACCTTTACACACTCAGCAAGCTCAGAAACATAAGAATGCAATTTCGAAGTGTGAAATAGGGTCCTTATACCCTATTCCACACTACTCTACACACATACACTGTACGCACTATTGAGTGTGTGCAGCTCATTTGAAACTGAAAAAAATGCAATTTTCGATGTCTTTGCAAATGAAAAATGGACTTTATTTTTTATCAAATAAAATTGTTTAATTGTTTGCAAATTGTATTTTACGATCTCCCAGACGAGTATGTCTGAATAGATCTACAAGACTGTAATATTTCAACTTTTGTAAAAGTAACTGAATTGGCAGTCTGTGGTCTTGCCTGATGGAAACTGGTAGATTGTCTATTAACATGATCAGCACTAAGCACATCACGTTATCATGTGACATCCTTGAAATACTCATGCGTCGCTATTCCAAAGGAATAAGATGTCTTATCCTGTAATTTCACAACTTTGAGATAAGGGTTTAAAAACAAAAACAGATTTAGAAAGCATGCCGTTCAATGGTTGGAATAGGTAGACAGATGTACTTAGAGTTTTTCTGCAAAATAAATAATGTCACTTTGTATGTAGTCATGTATGACCGCGACGTACAAGGTCACATAGTGTATGTAGTTGTGGGATGAGTTCTGAGATGTGTGTATGTGTACAGGTGCAGCCGCCGCCGGCGAGCAGTCCGCCGGAGGTGTCGGCCAACGCGAGCCTCGGGGCCGAGCCTCACAAGCGGGAGCTGCGCCCTCCCAAGCAGCACACGCCCCCCGCACACCACAAGGTACGACCTGTGCACACACACGCACACACACAAACACACACGCAAAAGACTCACATACACAAAATAAACACACAGACACTATGTTTGTGTGCAGTATCATAGATAGATAGATATATCGTTTATTTGTTTGTTACTAATCACACACAACATGTTCATAAGAATAGACAATACATAATACAACATAAGATTTATAAAATTGTGTTATTATGTGTGATCTGTAGCAATACAAAAAGGTCGAAGCTCAGCGTGGAACATTGTTCAAGGAACAAAACACACATTTTCAGCTTTAATCCATTTGAGGGTACGTGAAAAGACTATGTAAGGATGTATCTATATATGCACATTGCACACCATGTATATATTTATTTAAACTTTAATGCTCAAATAATAATAATAATAATGTTTATTGAAATAATCATAATCATAATTACTTAGTAAATACAGCAGCGTTTTGTACACGTTTAGTTTATAGTTATATATAAATGTACATATGGCGATATATGCAGTTCAAATCAAGAGACAGTAGCAGAGTTTGTGTTATTGGTACTAGATAACTGATGCTGTACTGCGTGTGTATGTAATTTATGAAGTACTTTTTTTTTTGTACATACATAATACACATAGAAAACACCCAGACAATATTTATCTGCAGTACCCATAACAAGATCTGCTTAGTTTGGGACTATGTGACAGAGTTTTGATTATTGTTAATGCAAATAAATAACTAACCAGTATTAATAAATTGTATTACCACACCGGCTTCCGATAGTCGCGGGTTCGATTCCCCGCACGACGCCAACATTTGTATTCATTAGTATGATTGTTTGTATAGTTCTGGTTGTTTTCTATGTATAATATGTTTAAAATAATATATCCATATATTATTGATATCAGTTATGTAGTACCCATAATACAAGCTTTAGTTAGTTCAACCTGGGCCTAGATGGGTCTGTGTGAATTGTCCTGAGATAGTTATCATTGTTATAGCCTCCGGTGCCGAGTACGCCGACAGCGCCGGAGAACGCCGGCTCGGAGCGGTCCGGGTCGGGGTCGGGGTCTGCGTCGGGCTCCGGCTCGGGCTCGGGCTCGGGCTCCGGCTCGGGCTCGCCGCAGTCGGCGTCCCCGCCGGCGGCGCCGTCGCCCGGCGTGGCCGCCACCCTCAAGAAGTCCACGCTCAACCCCAACGCGAAGGAGTTCAACCCCGCCGCCAAACCGTTCACGCCCAGGAGTCCCAGCACGCCCAACCCCAGCCGGTGAGAATTAAACGACACAAATACTATTTTATATATATATCCCTAACTACTACGACTAGATTTATAGTAAACTAGTTGTATCCGCGACTTCGTCCGCGTAAAATAGTGATCTTGATCAAATAATGAAAGATATTTAATACTCTAACGCAACAAAAGCTAAATAAAAAAGCTTCATCGTTCTAGCTTTAAAAATTATGATACTTCCATACAACGGTTCATCTCCCCTCGACCCTTAACAACCCTTTTTCTATATTTATACTTAATCAATAGGCTAGAAAATAAATTTCAAGCTTCTAGCTTTAAAAATGACAATGGATGTATTGTCATTTTTAAAGCTAGAAGCTTGAAATTTATTAACTTATTTCTTATTTACAAATATTTAACTCCCCTCACAACCCAATTTTCTTTATATTTAATCAATAGCCTAGAAAATAAGTTTCTAAAGCTTCTAGCTTGAAATAATCGTAATAATAATAATCGGCGCTGGAAACTATGTTTCGAGCATTATGCTCAGTTGTGGTCCACGTTGACTCTGTTTTGTAATGTGTATAAATTGTTTTTGGATTTATTTTTTTGTCATTAAAATTGTATGAATATAAATAAAGAGAAGATTGAATGTCCGTTTGGTTGCAGGCCCCACACGCCGGCGACGCCGGTGGGCGGCATGGGCGGCGTGGGCGTGGGAGTGGGCGTGGGCGGCGTGGGCGTGGGCATGGGGCTGGGCGGCGTGGGCGTCATGGGCACCGGCGTCAGCTACGTGCCCGCGCCGCACCCCGCGCCCCCGCACATGGTGAGACCCTTACACTGTTAAACTAGGGGCATCGCAGGTCTAACTTTAGACCGTAGACGAATCACGGTTTAGAGATAAACTTCTTTTTGTAATAAAGAATATTTTGGTCAATGGTTTATTACTAGTGCTAAACCAGGTTTATCTTTTTGTAATATGACATTTAGTGAATTACCACATTGAACGTTGCCACTCTCTTCGATGTGTATATTATCGACATGTATCATCAGAGACATGACCCGCTCAATGGCCTGACTTTAGCACACCGCTTTACATCTGTTCTCGCATCGGTCTGGGTGTTTTCTATGTATATTGTGTATGCATTTACAAAAACAATGTATCTAAGTATTTGTATCGTTGTCTAGTACCCATAACACAAGCTTTGATTTCATTGGTATTAGATGGTGGTGTATGATTTGTCCTGAGATATTATTTATATCATAATAGTATCATGTGACACCAGTGGTGCTCCTAAATTGTTGCCATTCCTCTCCTCAAAATTGAGATGTTGTAGGTCCTTACTTTATAATTTCATTGGATTATTTCATGCTACCAAACCAAATAATTTATAGATTTAGCTGTTTGGTTTTGATGTAGGTAAGAGGTACTTATGCAAATGTTGTATGAAATCTACGTCGGTAATAAAATATAATAATGTAACCCGCCCTACACAATACTACACATACTGAGGTTTTTATAAAAGTAATTGACGCCAGGTTGGTATTTCCTCATCCTACGGGTCTGTTAAAAGTCAACCTCTATAAGATAGAATGAAATTTATTGTTTAAATGTGGTTTTATACATAACGGTTTAACATAATTAACATATATTTTTGTATCTATTAGTCTTTTCTGACATGCAATAGACTATATGTATCATTTATCTGTTGTAATGTTATATATAAAAGAATAATGTAATAATCCTAATCTTATATATAAAATTCTCGTGTCACAATGTTAGTTACCATACTCCTACCAAACGGCTTGATCGATTTTTAAGAAATTTTATATGCATATTCAGTAGGTCTGAGAATCGGCTACTATCTATTTTTCATACCCCTAAGTGATAAGGGTTGGCCACCTGTAACATTATTTTTTTGTGGGCAAATATTTTTATTTACTTTTTTTTTATTATGTGTCATTAAATAATACATACAACCCTAAATTTTCACCCTTCTATCACCAATCTGTATTTTTTATAGCGTTATTAGTTTATATGGCAAAACAACGTTTGCCGGGACAGGTAGTGTGTATATAAATGTATATTTTCGCGCCACAGGTGACTGCGATGCCTGCGTACGCGATGATGCAACAACAGCCCGCTTATATACCGCACCCGCATCCCGTAAGTACATACTATACTTATACACAGACTTAAACTTGTATAATCTAGAACTCATTATTACTAGTTTACGACGGTCTAGTGGTTTAGTGCTTCCGATTGTGGCGGTTCGATTCTCGCACGATACAAACATTTTTGTTCCTGAGTAATACTGACTGGCCGTTTTTGATGTCTATTATGTATGTATTTATATAAGAAGTATTGAAGTATTTCTATCAGCTGTTTAGTACCCAAACAGCTAATACTATAGCGTTGGAAACCCTATAGCGAGGTGGAGCGACGATGTACGTAGGATTGCGGGTAAAGATTCGACGAGAAGGGATGATCGTGCCCAGTGATGTGACTTAGGAGAGGCCTATGTCCAGCAGTGGGCTAATGTTGATGATGATAATGTTTAGTACCCAAATGTGGGACTAGATGGCGCTGTGTGATTTGTCCTGGGTTACTGTTATGATTATTGTGCGGTGGGTGCAGATGGAGATGGGATGCGAGTGCCGTCAGTTCGCGCCGCCTCTATTCCTCGTGGCGGACAAACGCGACCGCGCAGACGCGGTGAGCACACCTAAGGCTCTATTCTGACTGGGTTGACATGTGTATTCAAAGCATCATTACCACATCAATGAGTGCATGTACTTAACACTCCAATCTAGGGAAGTGGCAATCTTAGCGAGCTGGTAGCTGCATGTATATGCACCTTAACTCGGCAGCTATTATTACGTCAGGCGAGTCGACGTGTATTCACACGGCAATGTCCACGGCTTATATGCTAGTATAGTGAATAGATAGATACGGTACAGCTTAGCACAGCCACCTTTTCTACTAACGAAAGTATCAAATGAGAAGTTTAGGATAGTCTCGTTGCAGTGCAGAATCGTTTTCCCATCGCACGATGTGTCGACCCGGTCAGAAAGACGTCTAACTGTTTTACACGGTGTTCTACCTTTCTATCTAGAATGTAGTATGTCTTAGTAGAGTTTTAACAGTGCGTAAGTAAAGAAATCTACTTTAAAGGAAAGCTACTGTGTCTGGTAAAATTAAGAATATCACCTGATTTTTAATTGTACCTTATATATAGAGGATATATTAAAAAAAAAATTAATATGTTTCTGGTAACTTAAAAGAAAGCACTACTATAAATAAATATAAATATATTGAAAACTTACTTACAACTTTAGATTTTTATAGCTATGTATGGGAATTTTATAAATTTAATAAACTTACTATGTTTTCAACATTTGCGACAATTGTTTCAATTTCATTGGGTTTTATCATTCATCTTCAGAATTAGCAGCACAAAACAATTGTTGCAAAAGACGAATAATATGGGAAGTTTTTTTAGATACATACTACATAGTTGTAAAACTTACGCCCTGTTGTAAACTTTACTAATAGTATTCCTTTTTTCAAACCATTCAATTTAGTACCTATAAAAATGGTAGTGTTAATGAAAGGTAGATCGTTGTGTGAAATGTGTTTATATGGTGGTGACGATCAACTGTGTAGCTTGTTTTATATTAATACTATAACAGTTTTTAGTATACACTTGTCTTAACACAACATCCTATCTTCATGAGAGAGGATACTGTGCAAGTATAAGATGGACACAGATCTGCGTGTGAAGCGAGTTGCATGGGTGGTGACAGAATTTTTTTAATCAAGCTTAGTCATAAAGGGTATTTGCCAAAAATCTGGTAGAGTATACATGAAACTGTAGAAGAAATAAAGTGGAAACCTGTTTATTTTATATTTGAATTTAGAACAATATCCGCAATTTATGGTAAATGTTAACTGGCGCGTAAATACATGAACAGCAGGGATGTTAAGGAGATCCGTAAACATAACCGAAACTATCGGATATCCGATATAAAAAAATATCCGTAACCGTAACCGAATGCGAAATAAAAGTTTGTGACAATATCGGATACGGGTGGAGCCTATTGAGATACGTTATGAAACCATTTTATAAGCTGTTTGTATTTTACTTTTGAAATTCCTTTAAAAATTATTATCCGTAACCGAAATTATCCGAAACTAACGGATAATCCGAAATAATTTCATATTCGCATCCGTATCCGTATCCGAAATTTCATATCCATAACATCCCTGATGAACAGCACACACATACATACGGATATCATTATCATATGATGCCAGCGTTACTAGACTAAGTCATGCCAATTATCGTGTAATTACACTGGCTTATGTCATCCCTCAACCGAAATAGAGCGTGCAAACTGATTGACAGATGAAATAAACTTTTATACAAAATGTAAGAGCGGTAACCTAATCAATGTAGTATATAAATCGTCAAGGTAAACTTTGTAGCAGTTGTCTGCGTAAGTGTGTATGTATTTAGAAAGTAACTAGTATATAAGCAGTTATTATAATAATGAACGAGGCAGTATACACTCAACTCAAATACCTATCATTTGCCTAACAAGCACCACCCTTATACATTGATCACGTGGCCGCTCCTTACCTTTTGTGTAAAGGTTGTATTACATTGATCACGTGGCCGCCCCTTACCTTTTGTGTATAGGTTGTATTACATTGATCACGTGGCCGGTCCTTACCTTTTGTATAAAGGTTGCATTACATTGATCACGTGGCCGCTCCTTACCTTTTGTATAAAGGTTGCATTACACTGATCACATGGCCGCTCCTTACCTTTTGTATAAACGTTGTATAAATTGTTTTCATCTTTTCCTTTTTGCTTCTTTGGGAGAATTGTTCTGTTCAGTTTCATTAATACTATCACCGATTTCGGCTTTACCTATATGAATGATAAAAAAAAAATTGATATTTAGTTAATTCAGGAGGTTTGAATGAAATAAATTAAGGTTTTACATGTATTTAGATGTAAATCCTGAGTCTAGTCACCACCCAAAGTGTGTATTGTTAACTTAGTTTCACCTCGCACTTGTGTCTGCAAAGTAACTCTTATTGAAATAGTTCTTCGACGTTTACTGGTATATAAATATTGTAACATTGATGTCATTCAGAGTGATCATCTATACATATAAATAAAATTAGAGTGTCTGTTTGTAATATTGAAATAACCGTTAGTTACTACATGCATATGAATGTAATTACGGTACATATACCAAAATAACATTTTTTCAATTTTTGTCTGTCTGTTTGTCTGTTTGTTCCGGTTAATCTCTGAAATGGCTAGACTGATTTTGACGGGACTTTTTTTGGCAGGTAACTAATGTAATAAGTACTCCTTATTACATTATCTATTACTATTTAGTTTATTAGTAACTTAGGCTACTTTTATTTTAGAAACATAAAATTAAATTCCACGCGGATGAAGTCGCGGGTACAGTTAGTTTCTTCAATATTATTGTCTTGTCCTATTGGCCAAGGCTATGAATATGAACTGAACAAAACTAACTGAGAGCCTTCGAACTCGTGTAATTATAACTGTTTATGAACCTATTGCTATAAAACAAAGTAAAACTTATCACTTAAAAGATGTAACATTCAGGGTTCAGCGGAAAGATTCGCAGACAGTGCCCGAGAGTTGATACGGTTCACTCGCGCGTAATTTTTTAGTCTATGTGTTATTCTGATATATCTTATTAATATTATGAACATGAATGTAAGTATGAATGGATGTTTGTTACTCTTTCATGCAAAAACTACTGAACAGATTTTAATGAAACTTTACAGTAATATAGCTTATGCTTCAGACTAACACAGACTATATTTATTATTGAAATTTAACGCGAGTGAAACTGCGACCATAACTAGTCTATAATATAAAAATAAATCGCTAAATGTGTTGGTAAGCGCTAATCTCGAGAACTACTGAACCGATTTCGATAATTCATTTTTTAGAATATTCCTTGAGGTACAAGGATGGTTCTTACGGAGAGAAAAATTTTTAAAAATGCCTAAAAACAACGCTTTTCTCCCTTTTTTTTTTATCCCATACAAACGATTCTTAATGATACTTAAAAGTCAATTTGAACTTTAATACCATATCATAAAGTTCAAGTGTAAGTAGAGAGGTTCCGGGAAGGCATGTGTCCATATTAGTCAAAAACAGGTGGTCAGTGGTAATGTCACTTGAAATGTACATGTCTCATTGATGTGCATATAATACTATAAATCCCGGCGCCCTGAATAGCAGAATAAGTATTAAATAAACTAAAAAATTAAAGAATCGACTCTTAGGCGTTACGAAGTACGCCGGGTCCGCTAGTAGGCTATAAATTCACGCGACTGAAACCGCGGACACAGCTAGTATATAGCTTATATTACAGTAAAGTTTCATCAAAATCGTTAAGTATTTTTTCAGTTAAAGAGTATTAAACATCCATCCATACTCACAAACTTTCGCGTTTATGATATTATTAATTTTCTTCTCCCCTCCAAAAATCGACATCAATGTTACAGTATTTTATGCTCTGGTTTCGGAGTACTTTTATATGTGATAAGGTAGTTTTCACAACGTTGCAGTGCGGCTTGCCCTTAGTAATGGCATCGGGTTTACATTATCTGATAAGTAGTGGGTCATTAGATTTTAAAAGGTCTTGTTCAGAACAACATACATTCTAAGATTTTATGGGGTTTTATATACTAACATATATGGTTATACATGTCATTATATAGTTATAAGTATTTTATTAATAAAACGCATTCACAATCAATGGTAGTGTTAGAGTCTTGTGTATTTTAGTAATAATATAGGGAATCTGTTTTGTTTTTTTTTTATACTACTACGATGGCAAATGAGCATACGGCCCATCTGATGGTAAATGGTTACCGTAGCCTATGGACGCCTGAAACACCAGGGGTGTCACATACGCGTTGGGCCGCGTGAAACACCTTGTTCTAATGAGGACGGAAAAAATTAAAATTATAATGTTAAAAACTTGACGTTCATAAGCGGCTAATATATTCTACATGAATAAATGTTTTTGAATTTGAATTTAAATTTGTCTATATGTAATGTGGTAGGACATATATTACATCTAGAGTTGTTATTGATTTATTATTAAAAAAATAAAGTGCCACAGGAGAGTCAAATTGTTAAATTATGAAGATATTGATACATATAAGAAATAGCTATTATTAATACCTCAGTGGTCTAGCGGTTTAACACACCGCTTTACTTCCAATGGTCTTGGGTTCGATTCTTCGCGAATGATGCGAATATTTGTACTCATGTCTATGATTGTATTGATCTGGATGATTTCTATGTATATTGTACGAAAATAAATGTAGTTAAGTATATCTACCAGTTGTCTTGTACCCATAGCAACAGTCTCTGCTTAGCTTGGAACTAGATGAAAGGTCCAGGCTCTGGGTGAATTGTCCAGGGTTATTATTATATAATCATCGAATATTCTATATATTAAGGAGTATCGTCGTATTATGTTTTATTGAAAATGTCACCCTGACGATACTTGACCTGTCCCTTATCAGACCCCAGTTTAAATACGTTACAAATATCTCATGTCAGTTTGCAATATTATAATTATCGCAACATTGTACACGGTACAACAGTATATATTAAAAACAAACTGAATATTTATGGAAGAAAGCGTAGTTGTCGTAACTTGGAAATACCAACTTTACATCAGAACAAAACACTTTCAAAAATTCATAACAATTTATCGAGGTAGAAAGTAAAATTGATTAATAAATAGATACCGATTCTCCACCTTTTTTTATAGTTTTTTGGCACTGGTGTAAAGTTGGGTTTTTCATATATATGTCCTTTGAAATAGAATATAATAAAAAAGGTACACGAATAAAGTTTTGTCAAAAATATCACTTGAGCATTCATAAACTAGGTAATCCAAATCTTAAAGGTTTGTTCGCAGTTGTCGGCTGTTAAACTATTGTTTAAAAAGGATCATCAATGTACTATAGTTATAAAAAGTGGTGACTCTGACTACAAACCCTCTAGATATTCATTTTGTAGATGCTTGTGTCATATTCTTGAGAGAATTTTATTTTAGCACTTTTCTTAATCATTTCTATTTGAAATGATGATGCTCACAGAAATTTATTAATTGTGTTAATAATAAATATTTTATTATATTAATTAGTTCAGGGGCTTAATTATTGAATACAATTCTTATTTGAAATATTTAGATTACTACAGGGAAAATGTTATTAAAATTAAAGTACATTTATACTTGATAATTTAACCACATATCATATTCAATCATTATTTTTTGACGAGTGAATCAACCCTATGTTACTAATAATACGGTTTCGTTTGCTGTGGTTTTCAATGCTAATATATGTTGTTTTGAGTGCTTAGTTTTAAGAATTACAAACGATTAACAATTATCATAATCCTGATTATAGTTTTTATAAATAAGTAGTCGTAATTATAATTTATTATTATTAGGTTTTATTTTTATTTTGTAAACGTGTTTTGTTATCGACAAAACCAAGGTTATCTTATCAGTTAGATTGGTCAGTAACCTCGCTTAATATAAATATCTATACATCAATAAGCAAACGATAAAAGTCTTATATAACTCCAATCAAATCATCTCGTCCGGTTTTAACTTCACTAACTCCTCAGACATGGACCACAACTGTTTGGCCAAACACTCGTCCTGGGCTTTAAGAGACATGTTACTCTCCTCGCAGTCGGCGAAGTACTTCCCTGTTATCTGATCGCACTCCTCAGATATCGCCAGGTATAAAGACGTCTGCGCACCTTCCAACGGGCTTTTGAAGAACGTATACAGTATCAAACTCCTCAATTTCTCAATAGCCGTCGACTTATATAAACATGTGTTGACCTGTCCCGGATGCAAGCTGTTTACATCAACCCCTGTGCCTTCTAGTCTCCTCGCTAATTCGTTACTAAACAATACATTACATAATTTACTATTACAGAATGCTTGCAGATACCCATATTTGCCTTCTTCATTAATTTTATGTATTGTTCCGAATTTATGCAAAATCGAGGATACGTTAATCACTCGACTCGGAGCAGACTTCTTCAATATAGGGACCAGTAATAAAGTGAGCAGAAATGGACCGAAATGATTCACCTGCATGTCTCTAACTATCCCATCCGCGGTCTTCTCTTTCCCCATACCGCTGGCACCTGCGTTATTTATCAACACATCCAATTTAGCTTCAGTCCTCTTAAAAGTGTCCACGAATTTCCGCACAGACTCCAAAGAACTTAAATCTAAGTGTATGTACTTTATAGATTTGTTCTTCGTAGCTTTAATTATGGATTCTACTGCTTTGTTGCCTTTGTCGTCGTCTCGACACGCAGCTATGACCCTGGCTCCGCGTTTAGCCAACTCCAGAGCTGTGGCGTAACCTATTCCACTATTCGCGCCCGTTACTATTACAACCTGGCCACTCATCACATTATCCGAATAACATTTCCCGTTAGAGAATTTATTCAAAACTTTTATCAATATCAAAGTCACCGGTATCCACAAGAACCACATTTTAATATGTTTATTATTGATATTCAATTGGTATACGATACAACGAATGCTACGTTATAATCTTAACAATGTTTATACGGTATTGACAATTGATAATGTATTACATTATTATCGCATCGCGTTTTTACATGATTATCACAGGAGGTCGTGTGTTATACATTTATGCTATACGGCGGACTGGTATGCGGACTTTGTACTGAGGTATATCTGTTGGATTTAAATACAACTAACTACCCGCCCTGGCTTCGCACAGATATACATGTATTATACATATAAACCTTCCTCTTGAATCGCTCTATCTACTGCTCCAAATTGAATTAAAATCCGTTGCGTAGTCTAAGAGATATAAGCGAACAGACGGCGACATCATTCTATGTAAAGATACCCTTCCGTTACATTGTATACAATATCGGTATTCAAAACACGGTTTTAGGGTCAATTATTGCTAATGTTCTATAATATATTGTTTAGCTTTTAGCAGCGTATTTCTTCCAATCAATTGTTAATGATTATACCCCTTCTGTAACAGCTAAAACTGAACTACTAAACAAAAACTATAGTCTTGTAAACCCCTTATAATTTAACGAATTTAATCTTTGTCTTTATTAAAAAGTATATCTAAAAAAATAACGCAAATTCGTTTTATATTTCTGTCTAAATTTGTTTTTTTTTTTTTCTATAATTTGGACAGTTTTGTGAATAACTAATTTTGATTTTATTTCTCAAGAAATCTAATTTAATTTGTATTGGATAGTCAATTTTCCATAACGTGGTTTTCAGGTTTACGCAGAATAAAATTGTATAAAATTTTGCGTGTTAAAAAAATGAGGTCTATAAATGTAAATGGGCATGAAGTCGCTATGTTTATAGGTCTGTAAAACTATATGTTGTGTGTACAGTTGGCGTATGGTGCGGCGATGGGCGGCGGCGGCGGAGTGGCTGGAGGTGCTGGCCAGCATGGACCACTCCAGGCGCAGCAACAGAGGAACTTCAGAAAGAGTAAGTTAGAATTATAAATTTATTGGTTTATGCAATGGCAGAACTTGAGAGCGTCGTTATCGGGTTACGAACATGACTTATTTAAGTTGAGTTCAAATGTGGACACACCAATAACTTTGTCAGGTTATATTTTTAAAGGCTTCTGTGATCTAGCGGTTACGTAGACACCGCTTTAGTTCTGATGGTCGCGTATTCTATTTTTCGTATAGTACAAAATTGCCATTGTGTTTTTAGCAAGTTCTTGGTATTTTGATAACTGTGATTAATTGAGTGGATTGATTGATATTGTTGAATGGTCTTGCAGTGGGCGTGGGATCGGGCGTGCAGGTGGCGGCGGCGACTGGACAGCCACTGCTGGCGCCCGCGCCCATGCAACAGCTGGTGCCGTACCCGCACCCGCACCACCAGCACCCGGCGCCGCACGCCGCGCCCTCCGCGCTCCAGTACCAGCACATGGTGAGTGTCTACTGTCTACTGGCTACTGGCGGCGGCGACGGGGCAGCCGCACTTACCACTCAGAAATTATGTTATACATTTTTCGTGGGTAGGCGGTTAAATAAGTAACAGCTGATATTGTATATGTAGTATAATTTTATTTATTTTAAAATAGTAATTCTTTATAATATAGTGTAAATAGTAGTTATAATTTATATTTACATCCCTATGCTATAATATTTGTGATTTGAATACCTGCCAGAAGACGCGGTCCTAACACAACTTTCACTATCTCACTGTGCAACACACCCATACAATGACATCCATACTTGATGTACTTAGAACACAGGCCATCTTGGAGAAGAGACTTGACGAGCGCATTAACACCTTTGAAGCACAACTGAAGGCATCCCCACAAGAACCCAGCTTGAAGCAACTTAGTGACGAGTTCCAGTGTTTCCGTGAGCAGATGTGCTCTTCATGCTTTGTTGAGGCAGCAAATTTATAACCAGCATGGATGCAATGGAGAACCGTCACCGCAAGTTCTTGCTTCTAGGGGGAATTGCAGAGAGGACAGATGAGGCAGTATGCGATGTTCTCCGTCATTACCAAGCACCTAGACAATGCACATCCGATAAACTCGAGGTCTGCCACCGCCTTGGTGCTCCTTCTGCTGGCCGATGTCGCCCCATTCTGATGAAGTTTACTGACCCATCACTTCGTCAGGCGATATGGGCAAAGAAGGATCGTATCTGCTGACGGAGTATTTGACTCGTTTGCGGCAGTCGCTGTTCATCGAGGCTCGAAAACATTCATCCGTCATTGGATGGAATTATAAGTGTGAAGCTTCCTGATAATTCACGTGTCAAGTTGTTTATTATATTGGAAAAGCTGATCGCTTTACATAAGCCAGCCGAAACTTATGCGGCACCTGCATCTGTGAATGTGGCTTCGGTTTCTGAAACTGTGGGCGTCAGTGGTAGGTCTGCTTCCGCTGTTACAAAGCAGCAGCGGTCGATCAGGGTGACCAGAAATGATCTAGTCGTCGCGTGTTTATATGCCTTGTATACTACGTATATACTTCTCCACTCGAAAACATTATGTCAGTGGTTATATTTCTATTATTATGATATTTTTCTTGTTCTCTTCTTATAGTTTACACTTACAATTTGTTCATTTATTTATTTATGTAAATTGCTGTCTATGATATTACCGTAATATTGTTTTTATTTTATATTTAATACCGTCTTTTATTGTACAATATTAATGAAGTTTTGTTGTGACTATTTTTTTTAACAACTCATTTTTTTTTTTTTTTTTGGTTCTGTTTTTCCCTTTTTAGGGAAAGGCAAAAGGACTCAGCCCATACAGCCATTGTCTTCAGTAACAACTCATTACTCATTGTCATTACGACTATCTTGTTGACATTTCATAAATTGTAATCATTCAATTTCGATTTGAGCATTTGATTGACACCGACTGACACAACCACTGATTGTCACTTTGAGCTTTCTCGACTGCGTTTCGTTTCACCTTTTTGTATATAGTATTGCTTGACTTTATGTATTGATAATTATATCTATTTATACTTGTTACAGCGTGCCGGCAGGTAATCAAATTACAAAGCGTTTTTGGCGTTTATATATTACTTTAGATTAATAATTCAATTATTATAAGTTAATCTTTAATATCTATACTTATTAATATATTTATTTATTTTTTTTTTTTTTCTATATAGTATATATATACATATATTTATTATATAGTTTTTAAAATTAAGTACTTGAGACTCAATGCTAACTGATGAAGACTCGTATGACTCTGCAGGTGATAGTAGTTTATCGTTCCATTCCGCTAACTCATCCCTGACAATATTTGCATCAAAAACTTACTATGTGAAAAATTAGAAAAATCAAAATTTTTTAATGTATGCCACATAAATGCTCAAAGCGTGCCGGCACATTATAACGACTTGCTCGACACATTTTCTGAACCTAATCTCCACGCGTTACTGATCTCAGAATCATGGTTTAAACCTGGGTTACCTTCAACAACTTATCCACTTCCTGGCTATGTCTTAATTAGCGACCGTACAGGTAAAGGTGGCGGCGGTGTCGCTATTTACCTGCGTAGCAATATAAATTATAAAATAATTTTATCTTCACCTTCGGAATTCGCAGGCACAGCTGAATTATTATTTATAGAGGTTGACTTCAAGGGGACCAAAGTTGCTGTCGGTGTTGTTTACTGCCCACCTTCAACAGATTTTTTCTTGGATCTTGATACTGCCATTGATCACATAAATACTTGTTATAAACACGTCATCATTATGGGCGATTTTAACACCAATCTGTTGAAGGACTCTTCTGAATCTCGCAAGCTCAAATCCATATTCGCCTCCGCGGATTTCACAATTTTACCGTTACGGCCAACACATCACAACTTTAGCACGGATGATACGTGGTTGGACATCATCTGCACATCCTCAACCGATCATGTTATCGAGTATGATCAGTACAGCGTTCCAGCATTTTCACGTCACGACCTTCTACTCTAACTTATAAAATCAAGCCTGTTAAGCCAAAGCCAATCATCGTCAACGTGCGTACAACAGAATTGATAGAACTTTACTTTGTCAGGACGCTACACTTATTGATTGGAAGCGTTATGACACTGCGGATATTAACGACAAAGTATCTGTGTTTAATGCACAGATCTTATGTTTGTTTGACAAACATGCCCCAGTTCGTAAGGTAAAACTGCGTCGTGTGTGTGGATTACAGATGATGTCCGTAAGGCTATGATGAAGAGAGACAGAGCTTTTCGCACTTATAAAAAGGAAAGAAGTGCTATATAACTTTCAGCTGTTCAAACGGGCTAGAAATCGTTGCAATCAGGTGGTAAGAGCTGCAAAACGCCGACATATTCATAAAAATATTTTAAATTCACCTTCAGCAGACGTATGGAAATTCCTCAATTCCCTTGGTTTTGGAAAGCAACCAAAAAGTGCCATTAAATAATCTTAATAATCACTTCTCCTCTGTAACAACTCTCAATACAAGTATTAAACAATCCACCTTACAGGAAATTAAATCCATGCCTGCACTCGCTTCTGACTCGTTCACATTTTCTCCAGTATCTGACGACGATATACGCAAAGCAGTCCTAACCATTAAATCAAATGCTAAGGGCTATGACGAAGTGAGTAGAGCTATGGTCTTTCTTCTATTAGATATAATTCTTCCTGTTCTTACTCACAGTGTTAATTTCTCGCTATCCTACGGCTGTTTTCCCAAATTGTGGCTAAAGGCATTTGTTATACCCCTTGCTAAAATCTCAAATCCGTCTCTTCCTTGTCATTTTAGACCTATATCGATTTTGCCATTTCTCTCAAAAGTCCTCGAGGTTATTACTCATAAGCAAGTTTCCTCTTTTATTGCATTCCAACATTCTGAGTCCTTTCCAATCTGGTTTTCGACCTGGACACAGCACCACCACTGCATTACTCAATGTAACGGAAGATTTTCGTTATGGAGAACACTGGTACTAATTGTTCTCCAATGCCTTTAATTGTGTTGATCATGACCTGCTACTGATGTTACTCTCCCACCTAAACTTCTCGCCGTCAGTACTGGAATGGTTTTCTTCCTATCTTCGTGGTCGCCAGCAGGCTGTGCGCTCCGGGCAAGACTTATCTAACTGGTGTGACTTGGTCGCTGGTGTTCCACAAGGCGGTATTCTCTCTCCACTTCTGTTTTCTCTTTTTATTAATCTTGTTATCTCACACCTCAAATGCTCTTACCACCTCTACGCAGATGACCTACAACTTTATGTCCAAGCTGAACCTAATGCCATCAATGCAGCAGTTAATGAACTAAATGCAGATCTCGACAGTGTATCCCGCTGGTCCCGTCGTTTTGGCATATCAGTTAACCCAGTCAAATGCCAGGCAATAATAATAGGCAGCACAAAACTTCTATCCAAGTTAAATACAATCAATTCGTATGTGCGTTTTGAAAAAAATGTTATCCCGTTTTGTCACTCCGTTAAGGACCTAGGTATATTGATTGACCCAACACTTCGATGGCATTTACAGGTAGCGGAGGTATCTCGCAGGGTTACAGGTATTCTCCGTGTTCTTTATCGGTTTAAATTCTTTCTCCCACCTTCCACTAAATTGCTCCTTGTCCAATCACTTATACTTCCGCATTTTGATTATGCTGACGTGTGTCTTACTAATCTCTCCCAAGATCAGTTGAATAAGTTGGACCGATTACTTAACAACTGTATTCGGTTCATTTTTGGGCTGAGAAAGTATGACCACGTCTCTAAATTTCGCTCACAACTTAAATGGTTGTCAATTCGTAACCGCAGAAACTTGCGTATCCTTTGCACACTCTTCTCCATCATATTCGACTCTTCCTCTCCCACTTATTTGAAAAATAGATTTCGGTTCATTGGCGACTCTCATTCACGTAACCTCCGTTCAGTTCATAACCTCCTTCTCTCTACTCCTTCCCATCATACAAGCTTTATGTCAAACTCCTTCACAGTTACGGCAATTAACCTCTGGAATATAATGCCTGTAGACATGCGTAGAGCACCGAGTAAGACCATTTTTAAAACGAAACTATTTAATTACCTGTTGAGTCGTCAAAACGAGCTTTAACTGTTTGGCGTTGAGTTAAGTAGGTACTTTCAACTATATTTAGCGTATTTATGTATTTATTCTGTGTAATTTATATATTTCAATATATATATATATATATTTATGTATATTTAAAGTATATATTATATTTATATAACTAATATAAATATAATATATGTACATAGATTTTGTTTGCCTATTTATTTAATACAGTATTAATATCACAAATTTTTGCCATTACTGCCCTACAACGGTTTCTAGTTCTACCCAAAGGTTAGCTGGTATATAATGCAAAATGGCATTATGCACGCCTCTTGTACACTCTTTATCGTGAAATAAAGAATAAAAAAAAAAAAAAAAAAAAAAAAGGAGAGGATCTACAAACTGAACCGTTGTGTTATGAGGCAAGGGAACGGTCCTAAATTTCATAACGTTGCATGTAACGGGACAGTAATACGAAGCGCTACACGCAGTCCCTTTGGCACTCCAGTATCAGCATATGGTGAGTAATTTATCACTCCTTAATCACAAGTTAAGGAGTCTACGAAATGGGCAGTTGTGTTACGAAGACAGTCAGAAGTCCATCATATCGTTACATGTTGCGGGATAGTAATACGAGAGTAACAAACATTCATTCATACTCATAAAGTTTCGTGTTTATTATATTAGCTACTCGCCCCGGCTTCGCACGGGTGTACATCCCGCTTCATACATAGGGACCGACATGGAAATAGAAATAGAAATAGAAATAGAAAATCATTTATTCAAATAAACTTAATTTAAGCACTTTTGAATAGTCATAACAATTTGTTTTTTATCTACCACTCGTTCGGAAAGCTGTCTCATCACAAAAAGAACGAGCAAGAAACTTGTGTGTTGCTCTTTTAAATAATCCTTGTAAGTTTACATTTACAAGTCGAAACGTGTGAATACAAACCACCAACAAGCACTAATTTTTTGGGTCAAATATAATCACGCAATAAGATTAAATCAGTCGTAGTGATAAGAGCAGACCAGTCCCTACAAGCAGCACTGCACACAGCACTGCACAGCATGGAAAGCGATTTTGTTTTATACTATGTAATGATAATGAAGTTAGATTATAATATTGTATATTCGGGAGTGATGCGAGGTGACGTGTCTGTGCAGGTGCGCATGTACGGCGGCGTAGGCGGCGTGGGCGGCGTGGGCGGCGTGGGCGGCGCGGGCGTGGGCGGCGCGGGCGGCGAGGTGGGGCTGGCGGGCGTGGGCTACGCGCCGCCCCCCGCCCCCTCGCCCGCCGCCGCCTCCCCCGCCCTCTACCCGCCCCCCTCGCCCGCGCACACGCCGCACCCGCACCACCACTACCAGCAGCCGCCCTACCAGGTACGCTACACCTACACCACGTAATCTTATGTGGACTATTCTCCGCAATTAACCTCTCATTTGCATCGTTATCCGTGTAGAGCCGAGACTATTAAAGTAGCCGAGCTCCTCGACTCTAGGTAGATAGATCCTAGTACACACATATAGTCTTAATTATAACGTTAGGTAACAAGTACAACAATCCATTAAGGGTAAATCTGTATGTGTGTGCTACAGCGATACAAAACTTGTACATACTCTACATTCTTATGACCCGAAACAGCCCTAGCTTGCCTCTAACTTTATTTTAAAACGAAAATGTAAATTGGACAAAAAAAAATATCTAAGTATTTATATCAGTTGTCTAGTATCCATAACACAAGCTCTACTTAGATTAAGACCAGATGGCGCTATGTTAAAATAAATTATTTCTTTGTATTTCAGAACATAACCTCAAAATAATAGAAACAGTTCTGATTTTGTGGTCCTTCGTGCCGGATATTGATTTGCTAAAGAGAGCTACGCTATTTTCGTTATATTTTGAGATTTCGTTTGTTTTGGAGACATGACGCGTTGTTATAGATGTGTTTAGATAAGGATGAGAATTAATGTGTTGTGTTCTCAGGTGCTGTGTCCGCTGGTGCCTGCGAACAGTGCCCACGCGCACCACCTGCACCACATGGCCTACCACAACCACGCGCCGCCCACCGCCAGCCCGCCGCACCACCCGCACCAGCACCCGCACCCGCACCCCATACAGGTCGGTCGCTCCTCCGCAGGTAACACCGGCTGACCATCCCACTCGCCTCATAGCGGCTACCCACCCGACCATGGCCACATACCGTCGCTCGTCCACACTGCTCTACAGGTCATCACACCCTGGATGGAGTTCTACTGCACTTGTCTGAACTATAGATATGAAGCCGGTTGTTAATGATTTCAACCAAGCGGTTGAAAATGTACTTTTCGTTATTAACAGCATTTTATGAATAGCTAACCATAAATTTGGTTGAATAACGGTAGCTAACGCGTTATTAACGCGTTATTTACAACAATGGTCTGGACCAACAACCTGAATTCTACGAAATTGGAGCCGGTCTCTTCTCTACACCACTCTACAGGACACCCCACCATATAGATGTCTGCAGCACTGGTAAATATAAATTGAACTATCTTCCCATTTAGCCCCTCATCTCGGCCGTTGGGAGTGTAGAGCCGAGACTCTAAGTAGCCAGCCAAGCTCCTCCCAGAATCGCGCGAAAGTGATTGTTTCACACGAACTACCTTGGTTTAGTTAGGACATAACTAAGCCAAGGTAGTTTGTCTGAAACGACTAACATTGTATAATTCATCAGCTAAGTATGTGAAGAGTAGATCATGAGCTACGTCTCTCTTACTCTTGATCCCAACACTGTTTGGGGTTGTATGGTTGTATTTTAGTATTGATGGTATATAGGGAAGTGTTGCCACACTGTATAAATGCTGTAAGCGGCCATTCATAAATAAAATGACACAAAATTCATAGTGTTGAAACCCCTCGCCCCGTTCTTGTCTCTGGTCACATTTCCGAGACTTCCCCCTTTCCTAATGTGACTTACACAAATAAATCTAAACGCTAAATCTAAATTTACGTACTAAATAAATTATACTTTAGTTTTTAGAACTGAAATGGACTTTAAAGTTGAAATGCATAAGGTCTATTTTATTAAAATAAGAATTGAAATTATCTTTAAAATTATAATGCATCAAGAAATGAATATGAAAACGTTTATTTATATTCAGATGAAGATGAAAATATTATTAAATTATTCTTAAAACCTTAAATTTTGTTTATTGATACTTAGATATATTAGTTTTTGAAATATGATGATGATTGAAATACGATGGTAATATTTCTCTTTAGAGTAGATTAAATTTTAGATGTAATGTAAATACAAAATATGTAAGTTTTTCTCTTCTATTCATCCCTGTTCATACATTTTTTGTTACATATCTTTTACACAGTCCATGCATCTCTTTTCTCTGCCATTATAACCATCCAAATTCATATATAACACCTTCCTCAAAATAGCTTAATAAATGATAATAAAAAAACTAGATCCCTTCTCATTCTTTCTCTCTCCTTTTCGACCCCCTGTGTTCCCCCTAGACGTGTGACATAGTTTATGAATGGCCCCTAACAGACGCCGTTGTCCTCAGAAATGATAAAGCACGATCTACGACGCCCAACACTTTCTATCTCCTTTTCGCCCCCTGCCTTCCCCCTAAACATGTGACATAGTTTATGAATGGCCCCTAACAGACGCCGTTGTCCTCAGAAATGGCAACGCATGATCTACGACGGCCAACACAATGTTTTGTGATGATGCTTGTCATCTCTATACGTGATGATTGTCAGTTTACAACAGGTTTGTCAGCTTGTCATTAAATTTTTTCAACAGTTTGACAGACAGTGGAGATTTTTAATACAGCGTGAATTTTTATGTTGGAAGGAAGTGGTAGTTTTTTATTTGTTGTTCAATATTTTTTCTTTATTAGATATAAAATAAAATTGATATAAATAGTATTAAATTTAATAGTATACCAATGTGATAATTACTGTTCACTGTTGGGGGTCATTAGTTCCCATTACTAATAGGAGGATAACAAGATGAGCATGAGGTCAGGTCGTTTAGCTCAATGTGGCAAATTCACCAAGAATTTATCACGATGATCTCCAGGGCAACCTGACATGGTACATTACTTGTAATGGTGTTTTTAGTCCACGTTACTAACAATCACCTTCTCCCCAATCCAATAGGATTGCAACATTGAATATTAGTTGGTAACGACGGGGTCCTCCACAGCAGGTGTTACTGCCGCCGCAGCACCAGTCGTCGGGCGGGTCGACGACCCCGGGCGTGTCGCACCACAGCGGCTCGCACCCGTAACGTGCGCGCGCGCCCACCGCCACCACCGCCACCACCGCCACCACCGCCGCCACCGTCGCCACATCCACCACCGCCACCACGCGCCCGCCGTGCTAGGCCCGCTGCTCCGCGACAAACCCCACGGTTCACCTGTAAATATACTCCCAATTCGCAATCCTAACGCCTAATTTACATTATTCTGCTAGTCATATTGATATACTTTAAAAAACAATTGATACACGGCCGTAGTGTCGTGAGTAATACAAACATTTATATAATGTTTTATGGATATTATGTATATGTTTACGAAAATGATTTCAGTTCAATTTTATTTTTCATTTCCAAAATTGTATTTAGTTTGTGCTTTTATTTCATGGTCATGATATATGGTTGGAAATATTATGTAATTTAAAAAAATATTATTTAATTTTAATGACTATAGTAAATACATATACAAATTTTACAATATTTTTAGGACTAATGTTCTCAATTGATGTCGCGATAACTTTGATGCTGGTGGGTCTGATACCAGCTACCAACGACACTCGATTTTCGACTACACTAGTTCCCCAAAATTTTAAAATAGTGTTCTTATATATTTTTTATTGTGCAGCTCATAAATCTTAATGTAAATTAGGCTTAGGTAATCATTACTTTACACCTTGACCCTATTTGGTTAGCAGTCGATACAAGAAACCCATACCATGTTTCTAAATTTATTTTTTAGTCTCCATTACTAAATTACATAATCCGCTGTGTATACTGAACACATTCGAAGAGTTTTATAACATTTGGTATAGTTATTCCTATATTAACATTTTGATACAGTAAATTCTAAATGAGTGTATAAGAACTAAGTATACAGTATTTGTAAATTCTCAATAAAATATTATATATACAGAATAAAAAATAAAAAAAAAACTTTATAGCGATTTTTGTACATAAGAGAGAGATGCCAAGACCTATATCGCTATGTTGTATAATATATACAGAGTTTACATTGTATATTATCAAACAAAAACATCAACAAAGTTATTTAATATAATATATGTATTGAAAATAAACAATATATGTACGTGTACTTTTAAAAATGTACCAAAAATATCTAATAGTAGGTGTTAAAATATGTGTCTATTGAAATGAAATACGTATGTAATATAGATTAAGTTATATGTCATCAAAATATATAATATATATAATAGTCTTGTCAATTTTACAATTACATCCAAAAATCAGATGTAATGTCTACGAAATAGGATAGAAAATGGCGTGGTTTTTCGTTTATACAAGAGTATATTTACATGTGAACAACATATTCGGATTATATAGAATGATAGGGTTGATATAACTTTATTTATTAAGAATATCTTATAATTCCTCGGTGTAGATTGTTCGTATCCGTAAACCTTACTTGCGGATTATAATACTTATTGTCGTATAATAAGAGTCCATTCTAAAGTGCAGTCTCTAAATGTTATATCTAAATTTTTAATTGATAGTTTGCATATAGTGTTATTTAATTTATATTTCGTGATGAACAAAATTTAAAACTACAAATTCTGTTCATATCAACTCATATTATATGTATAATAATGTTGCTGTACTAGCGTATTATATATTATATTTAGATATATAAATTTAGAGAATGGTACTTCAGAACCGACTGAAATGTATACATCACTTAGTAATAAATAATCTAAATTACCAAAGTATTCAACTGTTTTATACTTACAGTATAAAATATGTCTCTGTCAGAAGAAGTACTATGATATAAATATATGTATATATCATTAAATGAAATTAATACTGATTGTCTATAACGGTGTCCCATTTTATTAAACATTTTTTTACAAAATAAATTCGTTTATCAATAATATTTTTTACTAAATAGAGCTGTGACTGATTAGATTTCCATATCACTGTTCGTTATGACAATCCGTAAGTAATTATTACATCTTATACATTTTATAATTGTCTAAATCACGATTCATATTTAATATATGAATTTCTTTATAACAGCCATTGTGTTGCATATATCGCAAGTTTAATGTTGAAATGTATTAACTCAAAAAAATATTTAAAATAAAAACGACTTTATATATTTAACATAAATTCGATTTTCCGAAATTGATTTTTTGTGTTAGTACTATTTAGTGTTAAGCTTACATATCTTATTGATAAATTATTGTACTACACAAGACATTAAACATTTTTTTACTATTCTAAAAGAGTGTGTCAAAGACAAAGTGAAATGTATGAGATGTAAATGTACATGTGTCTATTCCTTATGTTATTTTACATAGACAACGAAATGTTTCGGAATTTTTTCTATTACATATCGTTCTGTTGTACATAGAGTAATAGTTTCAATTTTTATTGTAGACTTTTAACACGTCTATAAGTAGTTTTTTTTGACAAAGCTGTTTGTATTGTCGTGAATAGTAACGGCGAGAACAATTTGACGTTTTGTAATTCTTGCGCTGGAATCGTCATTTTGTTTTTTCTATGTGTTATTTTAATATGTTTATGTGTTAGCTCTATCATTTGTATAATATATGTTACTCAATTGCTTCTGTTTTGTCCACTCGCGCAAACTGGGAATGTAATATGCCGTATCTGTAACATGTTGTAATATTTAAACGATAAGTAATAATATTTTGCCTTTTGCTAATGGCAATGCGGACTCTGCAATAATTGGTGTTTTATAATGTTTTTCGGATGCGTTTCTCTCGAATTTATGTTTTGATGTTGGCAACATTGAACATAATGTGTACTGTAAGTGTTGCCAGTGTGCGAAAATCTCCCAAATTGGTAGAAACGGCAGCGGTTGGTTTAGCACGGCGGGGATATATGTGATGGTTGATAAATGTAGAGGTAGGCGGCGATTCGGTTCGGACGGTCGTGTGCTATAGGTAGTGAATTTTCTTTCTTCGTCGTTTGACCGGTGGGAGCTTGGTAGGTTTGTGGTAGTTAGCAAGAGTAGTTGCTTGTACGGTTTACATTGTAAACTCCTCGTTACTGTTTATTTATTTCCATTATTTGCAATGTTTTTTTTTCGTTATTTGATAGGCTGGTCCTTCACTATAGTTTATTTTATGTTTTATTCATTATTTATTCATTTGCCAACACGTACTAGTTATTTTTAAAGAGTGCGCGTAAAATGGTTTTTTTTTTTCAAATTCATTTTTTTTATTGATACAAAATTGTAATCTGATTTAAATTATAACTACGAAATATAATAGTCTTCCAGTCAAATATTATTGAGATATGTTATGTCAATCTGGCTTATAATGGGTAATTTTGAAATTCCGATGATCGCTGGTTCGATTCCAGACCAAACCAATTTTGTATTTACCGATATTTTAAAAAAAGTACTAAAGCATTTCTATCCGTTGACTAGTACAGGCTCTACTTGATTTGCAACTAGATGGCGCTGTGTAATATGTCCAGGGTTATTCTTAAAATAATTGTCAAATTATTTAGGCGCATCCTTTAAAAAAATGTCTGTAATTTTCTTTTCAAACTAGATGTATGTATGTTGTTTTATTTTGTATTGATAATATTCACAAAATGAATTATTTAAAAGACTGTATTATTTAACTTCCTTTAGTCTATATGTGGACATTATTGTAATGTAATTTGGACTCTATTCTCTGCATTTAGCCTCTCATTTCGGACGTTGTGCGAGTGACCCATATTTTATTAAAATTTCATGAAACTTAACACATACAACAGATAAACAGACAATTTTATATATATGTATACATGAAATCAAGTATATATATCGATTGACTAGTAGCTCTGCTTAGTTTACAACTAGATGGCGTTCTGTAATATCCAAAGTTATTTATCTTATTAAAAAAAATTTACGCACTCTTTAAAAAAAAACTGATTATTTCAAGTATATCACAATATTAGATCACAATGGTAAACTGTACAATATCTTGACTAATTCGAAACACAAACGGCAATGGTGAACCGTCACTTCGCCGATTTCACTTCCGCCTCCCACCAGTCCCTCGTTATAGGCAAGCACGAGCCGTCCCAATGCAGCACGGCTCGCTCTTGGCCTCGTATTTATTTAGCGCTATGTTAGTTTTATGTAATATTAAAGTGTCAATTAACACTACTGTAAAGTTCGTTTGTGTTCGGTAATATCTTCTAAATATATATAATTTCATCATTATCTGTTCAGTTCGATCGCTTCGAGAGTAATACTGTAGATTTGTTTTGTCATATTAGTTATGGTAATTTTAGGGATTTTATAAACTCTATATCGTTGAGGTATTATGTATTAATGTACTAGAATACTTGTCTTAATTTGCGGTGATAACGCCGCATTTAACTAGGTTACACAGTAGACGTTCGCCAGTTAGTCACGTATTTTGTTGATAAAAAAAGAATTTATCTGCATACAATATGCCATGGTGCACACAAGTAAAACATTTGAGATGTAACTTTTCAAATATTTTTCTCATTTTTGTATACAAAATTGCAAGTTGTTACGCAGTTCAAGTATATTGATGATGGTTACTACTGATCATCAGATGGACCGTCAGCTTGTCTGCAGTTAATATTTAATTATAAAATATCTTCATTTCAGTTTTTTTCACATATTAATTATTAATACGTAGTAATTGTTATAATGAAAGCATGATTATCATATAAATTGACATTAGTCACGAAAATAGATTAATTTTATCGTGTTATCTAGTACATAATACCTCAATGGATTATTGTAGTCTTTTCAATGTGACGGATTGACGAAATCGCAGTACGATCGGTGCGTGGGTTTCGTGAGTAGTGACAATAAATCGATAGGTTAGGTGTAGGGTGGAGGGGTCGTAACGTTGTGCTCGAAGTCCCCTATATAATGTCATTTAAACCCCTATTTAATCCCGCATTGTCATACGGACCTACAGGTCTACTCTGGAGTATCTCAATATCAAAATCCAATATTTTTTAATCGTAAGACTAAACTATATAAACGGACAGAATTGTAAGTTAACTCCTTGTCCACGATATGTATTTGTTACTGGTATTCGAGT